TCCCGCCCACGTCGCTTACAAAACGCAAAGTCACAAGCCAGAATGGCAGGCGACACACACCCGCAGGGCACCCTGCTTGCGGGAGGTTTGGGGCGCAGGGGCCTCTGTGGCCGCGCTCTCTGCCGGCGGATCGCGGGGTGCAGTGTGGAGCACAGACCGGGGGTGACCTCGGCGGCAGAGTCTGAGCTCGCGTCCCAGCTACATTGCCAGGGACACGGGCCTGGAGTCCGCTTGATTCTTCTTATGTCAGAGAGGAAGGGAGCGGGGGAGAGAGAAACACCCATGATGAGAGCATCTCGGATCGGCTGCCTCCTGCACGCTCCCCCTCTGGGGATCAAGCCCACCACCCGGCCATATGGCCTTAACCGGGAATCGAACCCGGGACCCTGCAGTCCTCAGGCGGACGCTCTATCCACGGAGCCACACCAGCCAGGGCTCTGTGGGGTTTCCTATGGGGAGGCCAGGTCCCCACGCGGATCTGGGTCTGTGGTGGGGGGCACGCCCTCTGCCCTCTGCCCTCTGCCCTCTGCCCTCTGCCCCTGGGTGTTTGCTCTGCGTCTGCCCACGGCTTGCAGGCCGGGCCTGCCCGACTACTGTTCTCAGGTTGTTGCGAGGTGGCGGGCACGGCCCCAGGGCTCAGCTGTCCCGTGGGAGGTGCCCGGGGCCGGAGCCAGCCGTAGTGGGGGCAGGCCACCAGCTTGGCGGCGGGCCCGGGGGCCAGATGTTCGGGCTTAGCGACCTGGCCAAGCGGGGATAGAGTGACCGGCTAATTGAGCACTGCTTCTCGGGGCTGGCAGGAGGTGCCGGGCGGGGGGCCGTGGGCCCGAGTGCTCGCCAGCCTCGGTGACCCCGACTCCTGGAACCCACACTCCCCCGCCCCCCGGCGGGGCGTCTGGGGTGACCCGGAGCCAGGGTTCGCCTGCTCCCCGGGAGACAGGAAAGGGGAGCCTGGTAGTTCCCCAGCTGGGGCGCATCCTGGGCGCCCCGAGGAGCCCGAGGACCCAGGAGGGCGCGGGGAGCACGGGCGGGAGCGGCCGGCCCTGCAGGTCAGCGGTTATTTAAGCCTCAGGGCTTAGCAAGGCCCGGGACACAGGAACCCGCTGCGTGCTCCTTCGCCTGTTGGCGGGGCCGACGGTCCATCTATCAGGACCCCCGGACAGCGCCCCCCCCCAGCGTGTAACTGGACCCCGTTGGCCTTTGCAGGGCTGCGGGGCGCCAGCTCCCTGACCTTCCAAGACCTGTGAGCCAGGCTCGGACCGGAGCGTGGAGGAACAGGCCAGCGGTGGCTGCCAGAGGCGGCAGGAGCCAGGCCAGAGAAGGGCCCCCCCAAGTAGGGGCCCAGCACAGGAGCTGAGGTCTCGGGGAGCGCCAGGGGCCACCCAGGAAGCCCATCCCTGGAAGCCCAGGCTGGAGTCCACGCAGGGAGTCCACGCCCTTGGGGCTGAGTTCCTGCTCTGCTGTGTGGCCTGAGGCAGGAGCGGACCCTCTCTGTTGCCTCCCGAAGTGGGGGGCTGTGGGGTGCAGCCAGTGTTTGGACAGGTCCAAGCCTCAGATGAGGGCACAGTCCTCTCGTGGCCACGTGCACGTCCCGGCCTGGAGGGCAGAGCCCTCCCAGCACCGTGACAGCCAACAGCTGTGGTTGTGAGCTGGAACCTGTGGCCCAAACACGTGGCCCCTCGTGCTGAGTGATATCGGCGGCAAGTAAACAACGCTGGACCAGGTGCATGTAATGGAGGAGGATGGAAACCCACGGGAACGTTGTAAACATCCTGACCACGCCCTTCCTTTGCCTGGTGGCATCGGCTGTAAAATAAAGACTCGGCTTGTCGTCCGTGGCGCTGTCGCTCGCTCTCCTTCAGAGAAAACAGGGTCCCACCGGGCCCCAGCTTTTATTCTCTTGTCTGTCTTTTCTCCATCCTTCACCGGCCTCCCTCAGGCTCACGCTTGGCCGTGCTGGCGTGGCACAGGGAGCCAGTCCCTCCCTCCCTGGAAGGGCTGTGGGAGGACAGGGAAACGGAGGGCCTAGGATGTGGCCTTGAACCCAGGGGAGCTGGCCTCGGACACCAACTATCTTACGAGTGAATGCCCTGGGTCAGACCAGCCTGGGTGCCCAGGTTCCCCGTGGCCGGAGCTGCGACGTGGGGATAAACACGGTGAAGCCGTCACATGATGAGCACGCACCCAGCGCCAGCCCCGTGTTGAGTGCTCTCAGCATGCATCCACTCGTCACCTCCTCGTCGCAGGAACCCAAGGCTGTCCCGGGTACACTCGGGGAAGCGCTGACCCAGGAGTTGAGACACTGGCTCAGGCTCACACCCAGGAGGGCTCCAGCCCAGGCACTCAGGCACCTTCTCCCACGTTCACACCTCTCTGCTGAGCTGGGGACAGGGCGCTCCTCGGCCGTGTCCACGGAGGGAAGATGACCTCACACGCCTGGGCTCAGAGACTCGGAGCGGCATCCCATGTGGGTGTGATTCCCGGTCAGGGCAAGTGCCTGGGGTGCAGGTTGCATCCCCCGGCCAGTGTGTGTGTGTGAGGCAGCCGGTGGGTGGGTCTCTCACAGTGATGTTCCTCTCCCTCTCTCCCTCCCTCTATGAAAAGAAAGCCACGTCCTGAACGCAGAGCCATGGGACGTGGCCGACGAGCATTCGTCATCGTTGTAACTGATGCTCTCGTGCCTTCCACAGGCCCTGCAGGGTGTGCAGTCGGCAGCCGGCTCTCTGGCTCACATCCATAAACAAGACGAGGGTTTCTGCCCTCAGGGGGCTTCCTCAGCTGTTATCATATCATGACGGTCTCCGTCATCATCACTGTTACCTCGTGGCCATCGCCATCATGATCATCTTCAAGACCAGTGTCACCTTCGTCACTACTACAATCATCTCCACCATCACCACCACCATCACCACCATCACCATCATCATCATCATCTCCATCATCATCACCACATGATCCTCATCACCACCACCACCACCACCACCACCACCACCACGATCATCATCTCCATCACCATCATCATCTCTACCATCGCTACCACCATGATCATCATCGCCATCATCATCTCCAACATCATCTCCACCATCACCACCACCATCACCATCATCATCATCATCACCACCACCATGATCCTCTTCATCACCATCATCTCCACCACCACCATCCCCACCATGATCATCGCCATCACTATCTCCAACATCATCTCCACCATCATCACCTCTACAATCATCTCCACCATCATCATCACCATCATCTCCAACATCATCTCCACCATCATCACCTCTACAATCATCTCCACCATCACCATCATCATCACCATCATCTCCAACATCATCTCCACCATCATCACGACTACAATCATCTCCACCACCATCACCACCATCACCACCATCTCTACCACCATCACAATGACCATCACTACCACCATCATCTCCAACATTGTCATCATCATCTCCACCATCATCACGACTACAATCATCTCCACCACCATCACCACCACCATCACCACCATCTCTACTACCATCACAATGACCATCACTACCACCATCATCTCCAACATTGTCATCATCATCTCCACCATCATCACCTCTACAATCATCTCCACCATCACCACCATCACCATCATCATCACCATCATCTCCAACATCATCTCCACCATCATCACGACTACAATCATCTCCACCACCATCACCACCACCATCACCACCATCACCACCATCTCTACCACCATCACAATGACCATCACTACCACCATCATCTCCAACATTGTCATCATCATCTCCACCACCATCACCTCTACAATCATCTCCACCATCACCATCATCATCACCATCATCTCCAACATCATCTCCACCATCATCACCTCTACAATCATCTCCACCACCATCACCTCTACAATCATCTCCACCATCACCACCATCACCATCATCATCACCATCATCTCCAACATCATCTCCACCATCATCACGACTACAATCATCTCCACCACCATCACCACCACCATCACCACCATCACCACCATCTCTACCACCATCACAATGACCATCACTACCACCATCATCTCCAACATTGTCATCATCATCTCCACCATCATCACGACTACAATCATCTCCACCACCATCACCACCACCATCACCACCATCACAATGACCATCACTACCACCATCATCTCCAACATTGTCATCATCATCATCTCCACCATCACCACCACCATCACCATGATCATCATCATCACCGCCACCATGATCCTCTTCATCACCATCATCTCCACCACCACCATCCCCACCATGATCATCGCCATCACTATCTCCAACATCATCTCCACCACCATCACCTCTACAATCATCTCCACCATCACCATCATCATCACCATCATCTCCAACATCATCTCCACCATCATCACGACTACAATCATCTCCACCACCATCACCACCACCATCACCACCATCACCACCATCTCTACCACCATCACAATGACCATCACTACCACCATCATCTCCAACATTGTCATCACCATCATCTCCGCCACCACCATCCCCACCATGATCATCGCCATCACTATCTCCAACATCATCTCCACCACCATCACCACCATCACCACCATCACCACCATCACAATGACCATCACTACCACCATCATCTCCAACATTGCCATCATCATCATCTCCACCATCACCACCATGATCACCACGATAATCATCTTCATCACCATTCCCACCATCATTATCTCCATCACCATCATCACCATCATCACCACCATCAACTCACTAGCATCATCTTCACCATCAGAATCACCATCATCACGCTCATCACCGTGACCACCACCCCCCTCGCCACCTGGCCCGGTACCTGTGCCATTCACAAAGGGATGAGCCTTGGGATTCCATCTCTCCGGGGTTCCTCCGGTCCCCCAGAAACGTGACCCACGCCTGGTTTTTAATGGGATTCTTTGGTTTCCCGGTTTCGGTTGGGGGTGTCTCACGCCCCTCCAGTCCCAGAGCGGGTCACACGTCCCCCCGGAGTGGTCTCTCTTCCTCCTCGGGGGTGGTGGTGGCGGGGGCCGCGGTGCTGGGGGGCCAGGCGACCTCTGCCAGTCTCTTCACAACCTCGCCCAGCTGCCCCAGGCCCTGGGCAGCCTCCGCCAGCGTGGCCAGCCCCAGGCCCAGCGCGTGGCGCTCCTGGCGGTCCCGCTCCAGGGCCAGGGTCAGCGCCTGCAGCTGGCTGCCCACATCCCTCACGGCAGCCACCAGCTCCCGCAGGGCTGGCGGCTCGCAGGCCATGACCCTGACGGCGGGCGCCGGGGCCTCACAGGGGCCCAGGGGGCCGGGGACCGGCCCCGGGGAGACGCTGTCCGGAGGAGGAGGCTGATCTACGGGCCGGGCCGTGGGGGGCAGGCGGGGGTCGGGGCTCGCCGTGGGGTCAGAGGCTGCGAGCGGGGTCTGGGGAGGGGGCGGGGCTGGCCCGTGGCCCTGGCTTCTGGGCAGCTTCAAGTCCTCCGTGGCCGGGGCGTCCGCGCTTGGGGCGGGCGAGGGGCTGGGGGGGTTGGACTCTGAGTCCGGAGGGGGCTCTCGGCCCGGCACGGGGGACGGGGAGGGGTGAGGGGCCCCCATGAAGGTGGCCTGGGGGTGCAGGCTGGGCTGGGCTGTTGGTGCTGGCGTGGGGGAGGGGAGTCCTGTTTCCAAGGAAGCTAAATGGGACTCAGTGGTGACCACAGGGGCTGAGGTAGGGCCAGGAGCCAAGGCGGGGTGGGTAGTGGTGGTGGGGTGAGGGGCCGTGGTGGGGTGAGGGGCCGTGGTGGGGTGAGGGATTGTGATGGCATTAGGGGTCGATGTGGGGTGAGCAGTCGTGATGGGGTGAAGGGTCGTGGTGGGGAAAGGGATTGTGGATGGGTGAGAAGCTGTGTCTGAGTGCGGGGTCGTGGGGGTGTGAGGGGTCGTGGGGGTGTGAGGGGTCGTGGGGGTGTGAGGGGTGGTGGCGGGGTGAGAGGTTGTGATGGGGTGTGGGATGGTGCTGGGGTGAGAGGTCATGGTGGAGTGAGGGATCCTGATGGGGTGAGGGGTCGTGTTGGGGTGAGAGGTCGTGGTGGGCTGAGAGGTCGTAGTGGGGTGAGAGGTCATGGTGGAGTGAGGGATCCTGATGGGGTGCGGGGTCGTGGTGAGGTGAGAGGTCGTGGTGGGGTGAGGGGTCGTGGTGGGCTGGGAGGTCGTAGTGGGGTGAGGGGTCGTGGTGGGGTGAGGGGTCGTGGTGGGCTGGGAGGTCGTGGTGGGGTGAGGGGTCGTGGTGGGGTGAGGGGTGGTGGGGGCAGGGCCTGTGGCGTGGCCTGGGGACCCCGGAGGCTCTGGCACTGTGTTGGGGTGCAGAGCTGGGTCAGATCCGGGGCTCAGCGCTGAGGTGGCAGCTGGTGCAGAGGGGTCCGAGGTCAGCTCCTTGGGCACGGTGGGCGGTGGGGTGGGAGAAGGCCCGGGGGTCAGCGCTGGGCCCACGGCGGCCTCCAGGGTGGACGCCGGCAGGCCGGGGGTCACGGTGAGGTCGGCGCTGGCCCCGGAGGCGGGGTCCGCGGGGGGCGACGGCGCCTCCGGGGAGGGCGAGGCCGCGCGGGCGGTGGGCCGGGGCGCCGCGGGGGAGGCCACCGGGGGGCCCGGGGACGGGGCGCGGGGCGCCGTCCTGGCCGCCGTGGGGCGCAGCCGGTGCTCGGGCCCCGGTCTCTTCCCAGGACCTGGAGGAGGAAAGATGGACAGCGAGGTCAGCCTGCCCCGCCCACGCCACCGCCAGGGCCAATCGGAAAACGCAGCGCCTCGTGACGTCATCGGTCGCCGGCAGATTGGCCCGGCCTATCGCTCCCTCTTTCCCCGCCCCGTCCCGCCTCCGATGTCTCCACGCGCCCCCTGGCGGCCGGCACTGCAGGAGGATGCAGGGATGATGTGCAGATGGGGGCAGGGGACGTGTGGGGGGCGGGGGTGAAAAGGTGGGAGGCCGGGATGCGGAAGTGGGGGAGGTGGGTTTCTGAACCTGGGTCACTGGCATTTGGGGTGCTTCCCTGTGACTGGGTGTGGGACACGATCCCTGCCCCCCCCTGAGGCTCCCCGTCCTGACAGACAGTCCAAACCGTCGTCAGAGCGTGCGCATCGCCCCAGGTGAGGACCCTGGTGTAGGGAGTAGCCCTTGTTTCGGGGTACACCTCTGCCGGTCTTTCTGGGGTGAGGCTGGGTCTCTATTGGGGAAGTCAGGGTCCATCTCGCTGCCCCATCCCCTCGCCCCGGCCACGGGCCTCACCCGCGTCTCCGCGAACCCTTGGAGCTGGAGAGGGTTCCCCCTGGCTCCTGGGGGCGCCGGTGGTGAGAGTGGGCGCAGGGGCGCCTGTGGTGGGGGTCCCCTTGGCCGCGGCCCCTCCTGACGGCGTGCTCATTGCTGAGTAAGACTCAGAGCTGTCCTCGCCGCCTGCGGAGACATGGAGAGCTGGGTCCCCGGAGGGAGAGCTGGGTCCCCCGGACGGGGAGCTGGGTGTCCCCGGAGGGAGAGCTGGGTGTCCCCCCCGGAGGGAGAGCTGGGTGTCCCCGGAGGGAGGGCTGGGTGTCCCCCCCGGAGGGAGGGCTGGGTGTCCCCGGAGGGAGGGCTGGGTGTCCCCCCCGGAGGGAGGGCTGGGGGTCCCCCCTGGAGGGAGGGCTGGGTGTCCCCGGAGGGAGAGCTGGGTGTCCCCGGAGGGAGGGCTGGGTGTCCCCCCCGGAGGGGGAGCTGGGTGTCCCCGGAGGGAGGGCTGGGTGTCCCCCCCGGAGGGAGAGCTGGGTGTCCCCCCCGGAGGGAGGGCTGGGTGTCCCCGGAGGGAGGGCTGGGTGTCCCCGGAGGGAGAGCTGGGTGTCCCCGGAGGGAGGGCTGGGTGTCCCCGGAGGGAGAGCTGGGTGTCCCCGGAGGGGGAGCTGGGTCCCCCCCGGAGGGAGGGCTGGGTGTCCCCGGAGGGAGGGCTGGGTGTCCCCGGAGGGAGAGCTGGGTGTCCCCGGAGGGAGAGCTGGGTCCCCCCCGGAGGGAGGGCTGGGTGTCCCCGGAGGGAGAGCTGGGTCCCCGGAGGGAGGGCTGGGTGTCCCCCCCGGAGGGAGAGCTGGGGGTCCCCGGAGGGAGAGCTGGGTCCCCGGAGGGAGGGCTGGGTGTCCCCGGAGGGAGAGCTGGTGTCCCCGGAGGGAGAGCTGGGTGTCCCCGGAGGGAGAGCAGGGTCCCCGGAGGGAGGGCTGGGTGTCCCCGGAGGGAGAGCTGGGTCCCCGGAGGGAGAGCTGGGTGTCCCCGGAGGGAGAGCTGGGTCCCCGGAGGGAGGGCTGGGGGTCCCCGGAGGGAGAGCTGGGTCCCCGGAGGGAGAGCTGGGTGTCCCCGGAGGGAGAGCTGGGTCCCCGGAGGGAGAGCTGGGTGTCCCCGGAGGGAGAGCTGGGTCCCCGGAGGGAGGGCTGGGTGTCCCCCCCGGAGGGAGAGCTGGGGGTCCCCGGAGGGAGAGCTGGGTCCCCGGAGGGAGGGCTGGGTGTCCCCGGAGGGAGAGCTGGTGTCCCCGGAGGGAGGGCTGGGTGTCCCCCGGAGGGAGAGCTGGGTGTCCCCGGAGGGAGGGCTGGGTCCCCGGAGGGGGAGCTGGGTGTCCCCCGGAGGGAGAGCAGGGTCCCCCGGAGGGAGAGCTGGGTGTCCCCGGAGGGAGAGCTGGGTGTCCCCGGAGGGAGAGCAGGGTCCCCCAGAGGGGGAGCTGGGTGTCCCCGGAGGGAGGGCTGGGTGTCCCCCCCGGAGGGAGAGCTGGGGGTCCCTGGAGGGAGAGCTGGGTGTCCCTGGAGGGAGAGCAGGGTCCCCCCAGAGGGGGAGCTGGGTCCCCCCGGGAGGGAGAGTTGGGTGTCCCCGGAGGGAGGGCTGGGGGTCCCCCCCGGAGGGAGAGCTGGGTGTCCCCGGAGGGAGAGCAGGGTCCCCCGGAGGGAGAGCTGGGTCCCCCGGAGGGAGAGCTGGGTCCCCCGGAGGGAGAGCTGGGGGTCCCCGGAGGGAGGGCTGGGTGTCCCCGGAGGGAGAGCTGGGTGTCCCCGGAGGGGGAGCTGGGTGTCCCCGGAGGGAGAGCTCGGTGTCCCCGGAGGGAGGGCTGGGTGTCCCCGGAGGGAGAGCTGGGTGTCCCCCGGAGGGAGAGCTGGGGGTCCCCCGGAGGGAGGGCTGGGGGTCCCCGGAGGGAGAGCAGGGTCCCTCTGTGAGTGTGTGAGTGGGGGCCGCAGCCACATACACGGACTCAGCCAGACGCAGCCGAGCTGAGTCTGGGGAGAGGACGGTGTCCTGGGCCGGCAGGGTCTCTGCCCCCCTGGCAGCGCCCTCCCTCCCCCCGGTCCTCCTGCAAACCTTACACCTCCAGCCCTGGGTGTGAGGGTTCCGATTGCCCAGCTACACCAGCGCCCTGCTGGGCCCGCAGCTGGTGCTCATTCACAGCAAATCACTCCAACAGCCAGTGCTCTGCCTCTGCGGCTTCCACAATTCCACACACAGCTTGCTCACTGCCTAGGGCCGTGGCTGGCAAACTCATCCGTCCACAGAGCCACAATCCACAGCACAACGATGGACCTTTCTTTGGAGAGCCACATTCTTTTAAACTCAAACTTCTTCTAAATAGTCTTCCAAATAGACTCGCCCGGGCCGTGGTCTTTTGTGGAAGAGCCGCACTCCAGGAGCCAAAGAGCCACAGGTGGCTCACAAGCCGCAGTTTGCCGACCACGGGCCTGGGGGTCCCCCTGGCTCATCCTCCCCCCTGCTAGTTGTAATCCCGGGGGAGCCACAGCTGAACCCCCAGAGCTGGAGTGCAGAGCTCACGTGTGGAATGACCTCAGTCATTCGGTAATCTTTCCCAGTCCACGGAGCAAAATGTGTGTGAAACCGTTTAAAATGGATCTCAAGTCTGGCCGGCATAGCTCAGTGGTTGCACGTGGACCTATGGACCAGGAAGTCAGGGTTCGATTCCCAGTCAGGGCACATGCCAGGGTGGCAGGCTCCATCCCTGGTTGGCAGGAGTGGGGGGGAGGGGGAAGGTGTGTGGCGTGCAGGAGGCAGCTGATATTCTCTCTCATCAATGATGTTTCCATCTCTCTCTCCCTCTCCCTTCCTTTCTGCGATCGATAAAAATCTATAATCATAAAAGCATAATATGCCAATTAGACTGGAGGTCCTTCTGGACGACCTTCCAGACGAGGGAAGCCATTGCCAGCAGCCAGGGGAAGGGAGACCTACACTTGCACGAATTTTGTGCATCAGGCCTCTAGGGAGGAAAGGAGAGAGAGCTAGAAACATCGATCAGCCGCCTCCTGCACACCTCCCACTGGGTATGTGCCCACAACCAAGATCCATGCCCTTGACCAGAATCGAACCTGAGACCCTTCAGTCCGCAGGCCGACGCTCTATCCACTGAGCCACACTGGTTAGGGTGGGGCTCTAGTTTTGTTGTTGTTGCTGTTTTAAATCGGTTTGGCCTGTGGACTGAAGGGTCCCAGGTTCGATTCCGGTCAAGGGCATGTGCCTTGGTTGCGGGCACATCTCCAGTGGAAGGTGTGCAGAAGGCGGCTGATGGATGTTTCTCTCTCATTGATGTTTCTGACTCTCTATCCCTCTCCCTTCCTCTCTGTAAAAAAAATCAATAAAAACATAAAAAATAAAATAAATAAACTGGATCTCAAGGGTGGGGCCTGAGTTCAAGTTCATGGTCGCTGAGCCTGGCTGAAACCTGGGCGTCGGGACAGGAGCTACGTCACCCACTCCACGTGCCCAGCAGAGTCAGCGAGCAATCCTGGACCCCCGCCCCCCAACCCACACACACACACACACACACACACACACACACGCGCGCGCGCGCGCGCGCGCGCGGGAACCCTGGAGCTGTTTGCCTCAGGAGCAGTCACTGAGGCCCAGAGAGGCGGAGTCCTGCTTTTCAAGGTCCCCTTGCTAGTGAGGCTGGAATTCATGTCAGCCTCCTCCCACTCGCTGCTAACCCCACAGCATCCCCGCGCCTCCCTCCAAGTCTCCCCATTCCTGAGCTCGCATGTGGGGCTGTCGGGGTGTCCCTGGGGCAGGTGCAGCTTGGCTCGGACCCGCGCTCAGCACCGCCTTCTCCCTCGGGAGGGACAGGGACTCCCGCCCGCCCGCTGGGACCGCCTCCCGCACAGCTGCACGCGCCCGCCCCTGGCGTCCCGCCGCGAGGGGGCGCTGTGGGATAAGGAGGCGGAGGACAAAGGACCTGGGATGCAGGCTGCACGGCGCCCCCATAGCATCACCTCCAGAAACTGGATCCCAGCATAAACCCTACTTCCCGGTTTGCCCCCATTTCCTCCCCGCACAAACGGCAGAGCCTCCAGGGCCAGCTCCTCTCCCCCTTCCCCTGCACAGCTCCACCCCGGACACCCACGGCCACGCCGCGGGGCCACAGCGCGCTGCGCCCGGCTTCTATGGCCGCGGGCCGGCGGGGCCAGCCGGCCAATCAGAGGAGCAGCGCGCCGGTGACGTCATGGGATGCGAGGCAGATTGGCGCTAGCTCCTCCCACCGCTCCGCCCCGCCCCTCGGGCTCCGGGCTGCAGTGTGCGCCTGCGTGCTGGGCTGGGGGAAGAGGCGGGAAAGGAACGAGGGGCGCGGTCCTCCGGGGACCGGGAAGAAGCCGCCGGGGAGGGTGCGAGGCGGGCGACCGGGGACAGAATGAGCTGGAGGCGGAGAGATGCGCAGCCGCAGAGGTGGAGGGAGGGAGACGGGAGCCGGGGGACCCTGCTGGGCAGGGCAGGGGTCAGGCTGGGGACAGACCCTCCATGCAGGTGCCCCCCCACCTCTGAGCCACAGCGCCTCCCCGACCAGCGCATGCGCTTGCAGAGGGGTTTGAGGGAGGCCAGGCTGGGATGATCACGTGGGCACAGGGTGGCCCCCCGGGCCCTGGAGTCCGGCTCTGGATCAAGGGTGCAGGCTTGGGTATCCCAGCAGAACCCCAGAGGCCCCGGTATGTTACTGGGGGGACATGGGCTGGGGCTGGGCTCGGCCCGATCTCTTCTCAGAGGTACACGGGGTCCCCTCTCCCAGGCTCTGGAGGAGAGCCAGGGGCGGGGAAGGTTTTAGGGCCCCTGGAGCCGAGGAGGCATGCCCGGGGTTTCTGCCACCCAGGCCACCCCATCAGGAGGGTCTTTGTGGAAACCCTGCGGGGGGGAGGGGGGGTGCACGGAGACCCCGCCCGCTGGCCATGCTCCTCACCTCGGCCAGGGAGGCGCCTCCACTCTGGGGAGCCGACCCCTGGGCTCCGGGTGCTGCGCCAGGAGGCCGTGTGTCCGGGCGCCCCTGCAGAGGGGGTCCCCCGGGCCAGGTCCTCCTCGGAGGCGGGGTCCCAGGTCCAGGCGGGATAGTCCTCCTCGTGGGCGTGGCCTGGGGAGAAAGCGGGGAGGTCTGGCCGCGCCCTGCGCGGAGGTCCCGCTGCGGAGTCTCCGGAGCGCCGGGGCCCCGCCCGCCCAGTACCGGTGCAGGCCAGCACCACGTCCTCCTCGTGGCCGCAGTTGTGCCGTCCCCAGGCCCCCGCGGGGCAGTCGCTGAGCGAGGCCTCCGTGCCCTTGCAGCCCACGTCATCCAGCCAGATGGGCCCGGAGCCGGGGCCGTAGTGGGTCTTGCCCACGCGGGGCCGGACGCGGCCGCAGCCCAGCTCCCCGCAGGCCACGGCCGCGTCCCGCAGGTCCCAGCCGTCGTCGCACACCGTCCCCCAGCGCCCGGCGTGCCACACCTCCAGCCGGCCCGCGCACCGCTCAGGCCCGTCGGCCAGGCGCACCCGGAAGGGGCCTGCGGCGGGAGGCCCCGGGTCAGGAGGGGTCACCAGGGTCGGCCTCGCCCCTTCGCGCGCCCTCCACTCACCTGACCCCCCGGGGGAGCCCCCGGCGGCGGAGGGGGCTGGGCCTCCGGATGACTCTGGGGTCTCCATCGACGGCTCCCCAGAGGGCGGAGGGACCCTCCTGCCGGTGGCCTCAGGGGTCCCCTCTTTGGGATCCCGGGTGGTCGGTGGCGTCACAGTCTTAGAGGTTTGCCCCCAGGGGGCTCGGGGGGCAGGCGCTGTGCTGGTGTGGGAGGCCGGCTTGTGGGGGGCCTCGGTGGTCAGGGCTGGGGTGGTCCGGGAGGTCAGTTCTGGGGGACCCCGCGTGCCCGGGCCCCTGGAGTGTTTGGCGGTCAGCGTCACGGGGGCCGGGGGGGTCGGCCGCTTTGGGTGCTTGGGCGCCCACTTCTTGGTGCTCTTGGGCGTCTTCGCGGAGGCCCTGGTGGTGGTTTCGGGGTCCCCGGGGCTCGGCCCCGCGGAGGGCTTGGTGGCCAGCTCCCCTGGGAGCCAGGCGTCCGGGTCTCTGCCCAGGCCGGGCAGCCAGCTCCAGCTGAAGGGGTCTGAGATGGAGTCCAGGCCGGGGGTCCCTGTGAGGAGGGAGGGAAGACGGGGACAGCGGCTGACCTCAGGCGCCAAGGTCGTCCGGCCGTGCCCTGCCCCTCCTCTCCGCGCCCCTCCCCAGTCAGTCACCAGGCTCCCAGTCATTCATTCATTCATGCATGCATTCATTCATTCTTTTATTTTCCTTTCATATTTTTAAAAATATATTTCCTTATTGATTTCAGAGAGGAAGGAAGAAGGAGAGAGAGAAACATCCATGATGAGAGAGAAACATCGATCAGCTGCCTCCTGCACGCCCCCCACTGGGGATGGAGCCCGAAACCTAGTCATGTGCCCTAGGCCGGAATCGAACCTGGGACCCCTCTATCCACTGAGCCAAGCCAGCCAGGCCTTTTTGTATTTTTTAAAATATATTTTTATTGCCGAAACCGGTTTGGCTCAGTGGACAGAGTGTCGGCCTGTGGACTGAAGGGTCCCAGGTTCGATTCCATTCAAGGGCATGTACCGTGGTTTGGGGCACATCCCCAGTAGGAGGTGTGCAGGAGGCAGCTGATCCATGTCTCTCTCACATCAATGTTTCTAACTCTCTCTCCCTCTCTCTTCCTCTCTGTAAAAAAAAAAAAAAAAAAAAAAAAAAAAAAAAAAAAAAAAAATCAACAAAATATATTTAAATATATATTATTGATTTCAGAGGGGAAGGGATAGAGAGTTCCCTGCCTCAGACCTTCCGGCTGCCTTCTCTCCCTGCCCCCGTGCCCCTGCGTCCCCTTCCTCTCATCTTGGGGAGGACAAAGCTCTCTCTGTCGTGGGAGACTTCCCTGACTCAGGCAACTCTGCCACCTGGTTGCTGTGTGACCTCGGACAAGTTGCTCAACCACTCTGTGCCTCGGAGTCTTCATCAGCAAACCGGACCTGGTGCCCGCCAGCCTGGCCTTCCTGTGGGGCGTGAGTGTGGCACACACCCCGCCCGGGCGGTGGGCACGCAGGCAGGTGCTCAGTGGACATGCCTGTGGATGCTCGCTCCTGCCCCCTCCTCCAGGAAGCCCTCCGGGCTCCTCACCGGTGCACGTGACGCCCACGTCCTCGTTGTGGGCGCAGTTGTGCTTCCCCCAGGGGGCGGCGGGGCAGTCGAAGAGCGAGGCCTCGCTGCCCGCACACCTCACGTCGTCCAGCCAGATGGGGCCGGAGCCCCAGCCGAAGCGGCCGGCGGAGGGGTCCGGCTGCCGCGGCCCCCCGCAGCCCAGCTCCCGGCACACCACGGCGGAGTCCCGGGGGTCCCAGCTGTCGTCACACACCGTGCCCCAGCGCCCGGCGTGCCACACCTCCAGCCGGCCCGAGCACCGGCTGGGCCCGGCCACCAGCCGCAGCTGCGGGGAGCCTGGGGGGCGGGAGGGGAGAACCAGAGAATCAGGGCTGAGAAGGCCTCTGCTGTCCGAGCCCTCCTCCTCCCGCTGCCCTCCCATCCTCCCTCCCTCCATGCTCCCTCCAGGCAGCAAGCGTGACCGGCACGGAGATCAGGGGCCAGGCGGGGCGTGGTTGCTTGGCAAGCTCAGCATAGAATCGCCAGGTGACCCAGAGACCCCACTCCTAGGGGCCCACCCACAGGGGAACGGGGCTCTCAAACAGACCCCGGGATGCAACGGCCACAGCAGCTCTGTTCACAGCCGGAGGCTGGGAACGTCCTAAAACGCCACCCGCGGGTAAATGGCCCCCAGAACCGGGCCCGTCAGCACATGGAATATTACGCAGCCAGGAAGAAGGAAGGAGCCCTGGCTGGTGAGGCTCAGCGGATAGAGCGTTGGCCTGCGGACTGAAGGGTTCTGGGTTCAATTCCCATCAAGGGCACATGCCCAGGTTGCAGCCTCAATCCCCAGTAGGGGGCGTGCAGGAGGCAGCTGATCCATGATTCTCTCATCACTGATGTTTCTATATCTCTCTCTAAAAACCAATAAAGTTAAAAATAATAATAAGGCCTAGATTTCAAAACTAGTCATGGCTGACCCAGCCTGGCGCCTGCCCCCTTCCCCTCCTCCTGAGACAGCCTCTGAGCAGGGGGAAGGCACTGCGGCCCCTGGGGCGGGGGTAGGAATTGGGGAGCAAACAGGAGCTAAGACCTTGTTTTGGGGAGCAGAACTGACTCACCAGCTTCCGGCCCAGGCTCCCACGGGGCCGTGGGGGAGGCCAGCGGCGGGGAGATGTCTGCGGTCCTGGAGGCGGGGTGTGCCGTGGGGGGCGGGGGCCTGGAGGAGGCGTCCCTGGACTTGGAGTTGTTGCTGCGGGCAGCGGAGGCCGTGGGAGGGACATAGGCCAGAGGCATACCTGGGGGGCAGGCAGGGAGGAGGGGTCACCACTCCCCACGCTGCCTGCCCGCCCCGCCCCTCCGCCAAGGCCCCGCCCCTTTACACAGGCCCCGCCTCCCCACCTGGCCCCGCCTTACACCACATGGCCCTGCCTCCCGATAGGCCCCAACCCACCGCCGCAGGCCCCGCCTCCCCACCTGGCCCCGCCTTATACCACATGGCCCTGCCTCCCGATAGGCCCTGCCCCTGCCGCCGCACGCCCCGCCTCTCAAACCACAGGCCCCGCCTCCCCACCACAGGTCCCATCCTCCTCCACAAGCCCCGCCCTCCACTACAGGCCCCGCCTCCCCACCACAGGCCCCATCCTCCTCCACAGGCCCCGCCTCTCCACCACAGGCCCCGCCTCCCCGCCCTCCTCCACAGGCCCCGCCCTCCCCAACTGATCCTGCCTTGCACTACATGGCCCTGCCAATCTGATAGGCTCCGCCCCCACTGCCACAGGCCCCGCCTCCCTGTCACAGGCCCCGCCCCTCCACTACAGGCCCCGCCTCTGGACCCCGTCCTCCTCCACAGGTCCGTCCCTCCCACAGACCCCACCCTCTGCCACAGGCCCCACCCTCCCGCAGGCCCCGCCCTCCCATAGGCCCCGCCCTCCCCACTACAGGCCCCGCCCCTCCGTCACAGGCCCCTCTCCCGCAGGCCCCGCCCTCCGCCACAGGCCCCGCCTCCCCACCACAGGCCCCGTCCTCCGCCACTCGCCCCGCCTCCCCACCACAGGCCCCGCCTCCCACCACAGCCCCCCCCCCAGATGAGTCTCCCCGGTGGCCGGCCAGGCAGGAAGTGTGAACGGAGGGGGGCACCGAGGGGAGCGCCGCCCCCGGGCGCCCTCCGCCGCCCCCACGGGCCCTCACCGTCGCACACGGCGCCCGCGTCCTCGCGGTGGTGGCAGTCGTGCTGGCCCCAGGGCCGGGCGGCGCAGAAGCGCAGCGCCGTCTCGTTGCCGCGGCAGCGCAGGTCGTCCAGCAGGACGGGCCCCGCGGCCTCGCCGAAGAAGGCGCCGCCGGGCGCGGCCAGCGCGGCGCCGCAGCCCAGCTCGCGGCAGGCCACCGCCGCGTCGCGCAGGTCCCAGGCGTCGTCGCACACGGAGCCCCAGCGGCCGCCGTGCCACACCTCCAGGCGGCCGGCGCAGCCGTGCGGCCCGTCCGCCAGGCGCAGCCGCGGGGCCGGGCCTGGCGCGGGGAACCGGGCGGCCGTGAGGCTGCCGCCCCGGAGGCTGCCGCGCGGGACAGGCTCCCGAGCCGGAGGCCCCGCTGAGCGCCGCCCTCCCGCTGCCTGCCGGGCGGGGGCCGGGGGGCTGGCCGGGCTCCCACCCCTCCCCGGCGCCGGGGCCACCCAGCGGAGGGCACGGCCTGGGCGCCGTCCAGCACATCTGCCCGGCAGCCCCGGCGGCGCCCAGGTGCCTGACGCCGGCGGCTGCAGACCTGGCTCCCGGCCCGCCCCCTCCCCGTCTCCCGGAGAACTGCCTGCGGGTCCAGACAGCGGCCTCTGCTTAGGGAGCAGGGATGCTGGGCCAGAGCTGGACGCCACTGGGGGGCGCAGCGCATCCCTATACCTGCCAGTATGGGGGCGGGGGTCACCCCCACTCAGGGCTCCAGGCAGAGAACGCCTGCCTGCAGGGTCTGGGAACTGGAGGTGTTCGGGCACCTGGGGCTCCCTTCTCCCCATGGCATAGCGGAAGCCTCGACTGCCCTCCCTGGGAGGGGCCCCCCAACTTCCCACCCTGGGCAGGTGGGGGCCCTCTCATCCTCCATCCCTTCACCACCTGGCTGGCTGGCCTCGGACCCCACCATCCCCTATGCCTCAGACCTGGCTGAGGGGGGAAGAGGACAGGGGCGCAGGGGGAAGGGAGGGGGGACCCAGGCTCCCGCCGCGCACGCACCTGTGCACACCAGCCCCGCGTCCTCCGTGTGGTCACAGTTGCTCCGGCCCCAGGGGCTCCGGGGACAGTCCCGCAGGGCCTGCTCGCCGCCCCCGCAGCCCACGTCGTCCATCCACACGGGCCCGGAGCCGGGGCCGAAGCGGGCGCCCCCGGGCGCGGCCAGCGCGGCGCCGCAGCCCAGCTCCCGGCAGGCCACGGCCGCGTCCCGCAGGTCCCAGCCGTCGTCGCACACGGTCCCCCAGCGCCCCGCGTGCCACACCTCCAGGCGGCCCGCGCAGCCGTGGGGGCCGGCCGCCAGGCGCAGCCGCTCTGGGGGACACATGGGGGGCGGGCGGGTGAGGCAGCCGGAGGGCGCTGGCCTGAGACACCCCCCCTGCCTGCCAGGCCCTAAGGACAGCGGGAATCTGAGTGGGGGTGGGGGTGGGTGCTGGGGGCAGACACCTGGGGGCCCTGGTCCATCAGGAAGGGCCCCAGCCTGCCTCTGGGTCCCGAGGGCCACCGGTTTTCGTTGGTTTGCTTTTAGCAGTTTTTATTTTTTATTTTATTATTATTTTTTAATATATTTTTATTGATTTTTTTTTTTTTTTTTTTTTTTTTTACAAAGAGGAAGGGAGAAGGATAGAGAGTTAGAAACATCCATCAGCTGCCTCCTGCACACCTCCCACTGGGGATGTGCCCACAACCAAGGCACATGCCCTGGACCGGAATCGAACCTGGGACCCTTCAGTCCTCAGGCCGACGCTCTATCCACTGAGCCAAACCGGTTTTGGCTGCTTTTAGCAGTTTTTAAATGGGATTTTAGAGAAAAGAGGGAGAGGGAGAGAGAGACAGCAACATGGACTGGCTTTTCCTGCACCAGCCCCCCCTGCAGCCCAGTCATGTGCAGCCCAGATCAAACTGGCAGTCCCTGGGGGCCCGGGATGATGTCCACCCTGGGTCCCCCGGCCAGGGCTGGAGGCCGCAGGATAGCGAGGGGGGAGAGGGGGAAAGGAGGACACCTGCCCCCCATCTGGGTCTGCGGGGGCTCACCCTGGCGGGGCCCTCCGGCCGTCAGCAGAGGGGCCCTGGTGGACTTGGCCTGCTTCGGGGGCCGGGGGCTCTTCCTCCGGGGACTGGTCTGGGGGGTCCCAGCCGGGCGGGGCGCTGGGAGGGAGACAGCAGGGAGGGCGGTCAGAAGCCACTCACCCTCCTGCCCAGGCTGTGAGGGGACCCCAGGGCTGGGGGGCCCGAGCTCTGTCTGTCCCAGGCCGTCCGGGAAGGGCCCCTCCCTGGCTGAGCAGAAGCGGGGTGCGGGCCAGCGGGCGGCTCACCCTGCGTCACGGGGGGCTCCTCAGAGCTGGGGCCCAGCTCCCCGGGCAGCCCCGGCCAGGGGTCCCCGGCCAGGATCGAAGGGGGGTCGTCCGTGTCCCTGGAGTTGGCCACACGCTGACCTGCGAGAGAGAGCGTGGGTCTGTGCGGCCGGGCAGGCCCTGGGGCCCTGGAGGGAGAGCCCCCCCCCCCCCAGTGAGGGGCGGAGACGCGGGGCCTCACCTGCACACACGGCCCCCGCGTCCTCCTCGTGGGAGCAGACGTGGGCCTTCCAGCCGCGGTGCGGGCACAGGCCCAGCCGCCCCTCGCCGCCCCGGCAGGCCAGCTCGCTGAGCCACACGGGCCCGGCGCCCTCCCCGAAGAAGGCGCCGCCGGGCGCGGCCAGCGCGGCGCCGCAGCCCAGCTCGCGGCAGGCCACCGCCGCGTCGCGCAGGTCCCAGCCGTCGTCGCACACGGAGCCCCAGCGGCCGCCGTGCCACACCTCCAGGCGGCCGGCGCAGCCATGGGGCCCGTCCGCCAGGCGCAGCCGCTCTGGGGGGGGGGGGAGGGGTGGCGGGGGAGGGGCTGTGACCTCGGGGGGCGGAGGTGGGGGCCCTGGGGCCGGGCTGTCCTCGGGGTGCAGCTGCAGACCACCCCCTTCAAGGCACAGGCATCAAACCCCACCCTGTTTGTGGGGGGCCCCTGTCCTGAGCAGCCCTCACTCTTGGGGGTCAAACTGGCTGCTGTGGGGACCCCCATCCTGGGGCCCAGGAGAGCTGAGTGAGCCCCTGGTCCCTGTTGGAAGTGGATGGGTAGTTTCTGGGGGGACAGGGGCCTGAGGTCGCAGCCGGATGGGGGGACAGGGTCCCGGGGGAGGGCAAGGCCAGGAGCGGGGGCGGGAGGGGGGGCACTTACCAACCGCCTGGATCCCCATCAGAGCCGCTGGGAGGCGGGGGAGGGTGTGACATGGTGAGGGGCAGGCCCAGGGTGCTCCCTCCGCACAGGGCCCTGGCCACACACACACACACACACACACACACGCATACACACGCACCCGCATGCACACGCTCACACACCTCTGAACCAGTCCCCCGCAAGGACTCTGAGCCAAGGCGGGGCCCAGGCGAAAGGTCAGTGCTGGGGCCCAGGCGGAAGGTCGATGGTGGGGCCCAGGCGGAAGGTCGGATGGTGGGTAAACCCCCACAGGGGTCAGGGCCGCTGGGGGCGTGATGGGGGGCAGGCGGGGCCCTGGGGCTCCCCGGCCGGCGGGCCGGGGGCGCAGAAGGCTGGGTCCCCGGGGGCCAGGCAGGGAGCACGTGTGTGTCCTGCATCCCCCAGCACCAGGGCTGGGCCCCGGAAGTCTGGTCCCTCCAGCAGTGAGCTCAGGGGTCAGAGGGCGGGGCCAGGCCCCCCTCCCGAGGCCCCCCCCAGGAGAAGGGGTCACTCACCCAGGAGGCAGGCCAAGACCCTCATGTCTGCAGAGCCCAGGGCAGGGATGGGGCGCGAGGGGGGCGGCGGCTGGGGAGGTCGGACGGGGACGGGGAGGACGGGGAGGACGGGGAGGACGGGGAGGACGGGACGCGCCCGCCGAGGCGCCCTGGACCCGGGAGGAGCAGGCGGGAGCCGGATGCTCTGCCAGGAGCGAGAGAGGCTGGCGGGCGGCAGCAGGGGACAGGAGGGGGCGGGGAGGGGGCTGGCCCGGCCGAGGCCTGCGGAGGAGGGGGGTTGTGGGGCGGGAGGGAGGCTGTCCAGCTGCAAACACCCACACAGACGCCGGCCAGGGCGGGCGGGCGGGCGCAGAGCCGCTCAGGGGCCGGCTGGCCGCAGGGAAGGGATGGACGGAAGGACAGAAGGACGAAGCGTGGGGGGGGGGACCCCGGTGGAGGCCGGGTTCACAGGGGCTGCTGAGCTCGGGAGTCACGGCTGGTTGGCTCAGCAGCACGAGGGCTTCCAGCCAGACAGCAGGAAGGACTTCCTGGGCGGGAGCCGGGCCTGGGAAACCCTCTGTGCTCCGGGTGCAAGCCGGGGGACCTCTGTGCACCCCCGCCCCCCGCCTTCGCCCCCGTCCGCTCCAGGAGCACAGGGCGGCGGGCGGCGGGCGGACGGAGGGAGGGAGGGAGGTCGAGGCTGGGCAGGAGGGGGGCGTCGGCACTCCCCCACAGCGGGCGGGCGGGCGGGCGGCGGGGGGCGGAAAACTTGGGTAATGGGGAGCGTGAGTCAGCCGGCTGGCTAGGAGCGGGCGCTGTGAGCTCATCACCTCCCCGGCTCCCAGGCCAGCACCCCCCCACCCCCAACCCCGCCGACGATTAATGTCAACTCGAGAGGAAGGAGGAGCCAGACAGGAGAGGCCGCGGAGACAGCCTGGAAAAGGCATCAGAGAGGGAGCGGGCTTTATTCACCGCCGGGTGTAAAAGCCAGATGGGCCCGGCCCTCCCTCGCTCCCACCTGGGGAGAGACGGGGGGAGGGGGGGGACGCTGGGCTGATCTGTCTGCCGCCGCCTCCTCCTCGCAGCCTCTCCAGGAGACGGCTCCCCAGCAAGGCTCTGCTCAGCTGCTTCAAACACGGGCATCAACCACCCCCCCCATTTGTGGGGGAACCCCTGTCCCGAGTCCTAACTCTTGGGGTGGTCACACTTGTCCGGCTTCCTCTCCTCCAGCGGAGCGAGGTGCAGACCTTGCAGTGAGACAGGCGGGAGGGCTCTCGGCACAGACGGAGGCTGGAGGCGGGCAGGCCACCCTCTGAGTTCACACACCACACACACCGGCCTCTGCCTGGGGTGGCCTGTCGGCCGGAGCTCCCGGGCCCTGGGCAAGGCCGGGGATGCGCACAGGGAGGAGGTGAACGTGCCCGCGCACAGTAGGTGGTCACGCGCGCAGTAGGTGCTCGGGCTGGAGTCACAGGTCCTTGCTGAACTCCCTCACCAGCGCGTAGCCCATGCAGCCCCAGCTCCCTTCGGCCTGGTAGCCGCAGCCCTCCAGCATGCCCGCCACGCCCCAGGCCGCCACGGCCACGGGGACCACCAGGCGGGCCCGGGGCTCGCCGGCGCCCCCCGCCCAGGCCCGCGCCCGGGACTCGGCGAAGGCCAGCAGCCGCCTGCCCACGCCCTGGCGGCGGTGCCAGCGGGAGACGGAGAGGCGGGTGACCCGGGCCCCGCCCCCGCTGTGGGAGCCCGGGGCCAGCGCCAGGACCCCGCACACGTCCCCTGAGCCGCGCACCGCCACCCAGGGCCCCCCCAGGCCGCCCGGCGGGGGCAGCGAGCCCCAGCGGGCCCTCAGGCCCAGCTTCAGGGCCACCACGGCCAGCAGCACGGGCAGCAGCAGGGCCAGGGCGAAGGAGGCCAGGACGAAGCGCAGGCCGCTGCTGGCCGCCGCCAGGAGCAGCAGGGTGGGCGGCCGGGTCAGGGCGTGCAGGGCCACGCGGTTCTCCGTGTCCCTCACGCCGGCCTGTCGGGGGGAGGGCGGTCAGAGCCAGGGGCCTGGCCTTCCGTTACGCCAGGGTCCCTGTGGGCACCGGGACTAGGAGAGGGGGCGCCTGAGAGGGGGACCCAAAGGGGAAGGGAAGACATGGGGGTGGCCCTGTGGCAGAGGAGCCCGCGCACAGTAGGTGGTTGTGCACACAGTAGGGCCATCTGCTCTAGGCACCCGCCAACACCACACGTGACACACTGGGCTTGGCGTGAGTGAGCGAGCCAGGAGATGAGCTGGGAGCTCCAGGGACACCCACATCCGGGGAGGGTCAGACAGGAGGCACTAGGGAAGGCTGAGGTCAGGGCGGGACAAGTGGACAGGGGACTGTCCAGGCCAGAAGCCGCGCATGCTCTCTGGACGCGGGAGAGGAGCCGGGAGCGCAGGGCTGAGGCCCGGCCGCTGCTCTGAAAAGCGCGGGGTGGGAGGCGGAGTCCCCCAGAGCCGGGCGTTACAGGCTCCGGACGGGAGGGAAGGGAGGCGCCGGAGGGAGAGGGGGCCGCGCTGGAGGCGCCTCGGGAGGAGCTCGCCTCTCCGGGCCGGGCGGGCCCTCACCTTCAGCATCTCCAGCACCAGGGCCTTCTCATCCTCCCTCATCTCCCGCACCGACAGGTGGCTGGGGGCCATGGCAGCCCCGCGCCCCGCCCCGGGAGCAGGCGCGCACCTGGTGGGAGCAAGGTCAGCATCAGGCAGGCCCTCTGGTCCCCACGCGCCCCTGACGAGGGCGCTGAGTACCCCGGGGGGACCCCCTCCGCCCAGCGACCTTCCTGACGTCTCCCGGGGTCCTGCACCCCCACCCAGGGGCCGAGGTGTTCAGCGATCCGCCCCCAAATGCCTGGCCACGTGGACGCCAGCACGGGGCTCCCTCCTGGGCTGCCGGGCTGCCCTGCGGGGGCGGGGAGGGGGTCAGCGAACCCCCGCCCGCGGCCGGGCAAGGACCCCGCTGCCCACGCCCCTCCCGCAGTCGCCGCAGGACAAGGACCTTCAAACACCCCCGCAAGCCGCTCTGATCCTTTAAGGTGTAGGGGTGCAGGGTCGAGAAGGTGGAGTAGGGGGGTGAGGGACCGCTGGCGGAAGTGACGTCAGACTCACGCACTGTGGGGGCGGGGCGGTACCTACAAGGCCTTAGCAACTGTTGCCAGGCTCCCCGGCACCTGTGCGCGGCGGAAGGGCTAAGGCGGCGAGGAGCCTCCGCAGGGATGGGGTCGGGAGGGACAGAGAAGGGATCAGCCCGCAGGACGATGGGGGCGGACGCCGGCGGGGAGCGGTACTTACCGGCCGTGCAGGGGGTTCGCACGCTCGCTCCTGGGTTGCTAAGCAACCGGAGCGTGGTGTAGGGGCGCTGACGGGAGCGATGGATGCTCATTGGTCATCCGTCTCGGGCTGCGTCACCCTCCTGAGCTCACTGGCTCCCGAACTCGCCCACCAGGGGGCCCTCGGTCCCCGCCCGCTGTGCTCGGCGCCCTGGGGTGCAGGCATCCTCCACGCACCGCTCCGAGGGGGGGTGTGGGTGAGGAACAGGTGGGCCAGGGTTCTAGAGCCCACACTCCCCCTTCCAGTGACGGGCATCCTTAGAGGGTAAACAGCCCCAAGGCACCTGCGAGCCGCATGCAGGAGCGAGCCTCCAGGTCCCAGGCCGTGGCTATGGCCTGGCCTTGCCCCCCACCCCACCGGCCCGCCCCCGCCCCCAATAAAACAGCGCGCAGGCCAGGAGACTCTGGTCTTTATTAGCGGCCCCGGCCGCGCTCTCCGTTCCCCCCCACGCCCGGTGCAGCCCAGCCCGTGTGCCCGGGTCTGAGAGGCGGGAAAGGGACCAGTGGTTCCGCTTAAAATGTGTGCACCAGCTGGACCGCGGGCAGGGTCTGGACAATCTGGATGGAGGGCAGGCCCTGCGCGGCCATGCCCCCCGGCGCGGCCCCGGAGGGGACCACGTGCACCATCTGGGAGGCGGGAGCCGCGGGGAGGCCGGCGGGGGCCGGGGCGGGGCTGGGCGGCGGCGGGGCCAGCAGCTGCAGCGTGGCGGCCCCGCCCCCCACGCCGCTGTGGTCCAGCAGCTCGGAGGCCGGGGCGCTGCGGATGATGAGCAGCTTCTGCCCGGGAGGCCCGGGGGCGGGCGGCTCGGCCAGCCCCGAGGGCAGGGTCTCCACCTCCTGCACGCACAGCTGGGTCTGCTCCCCGTCCGCCCCGCTCAGCACCAGGACGCTCTGCAGGCCCTCGTCCGTCTGCAGCGTCTCGAAGAGCACATCCTGCACCACCCCCGCGGTGGCCTCGCCCTCCCCGGGGTCCCCGGGCCCGGGGCCCGCCAGCAAGTCCTCGGCGGCCCCACTCTGGACCACCAGCAGGTTGGGGGCCTCGGTGGGCACGGCCCCGCCGCCGGGATTGGACAGCTGGCCCGCGACCGGCTGGAGCTGCACCGCGGTCACCTCCTGCGCCGGCTGGAGCTGGACGGTGGTCACCTCTGGGGCCGGCTGGAGCTGGACGGTGGTCACTTCCGGGGATGGCCGCAGGGGCTGGAGCTGGACCCCACTCACTTCCGGCGGCCCTCCGTCCCCACCGCCCACATTCTGCAAGAGGATGAGGCTTTGCCCCGCCCCGTTAGCCCCCACGCTGCCCCCTCCCTGCACCCCCAGCCCCCCGGGGCCGGGCAGCCAGACTACTCCAGGCCCCTGCCCGGCCTTCCCCACCGCCCGCAGGCCCTGCCGCGCCTGGCCACCCCCGGCCCCCGCACTGGGGGAGGGCAACAGGATGAGCTTGGGGGGCGGGGGCGGGGGCGGGGGCGTGGGGGGCTGCACGCTGCTGGGGATGAGCTGCAGGCCCTGGGCGGTCTGCACCAGGAGGAACGTCTGCGAGTTGGGGGCTGCGGGGCCCAGGGGCGGGGCCTGGCCCGGGCCCCCCGCCACCTCCAGGGACAGCGTGGCCTGGAGGTGGGGGAGCACGTGCACGTCCTGGGTGGCCGGCGGGGCCGGGGCGGCGGCCAGCGGGGCGGGCGCCGGGGGGCCGGCGGCGGGCGCGGCGGGGGCCGGCGGGGCGTGCGTCCTCAGGTGCCGCTGCAGGTAGGCGGCCATGACGAAGCTGCGGCCGCAGACGGGGCAGGAGAAGGGGCGCTCGGCCGAGTGGGTGCGCTGGTGCAGCAGCAGGTTGGAGGAGTGCGTGAAGGTCTTGGGGCAGAGCGGGCAGCGGAAGGGCCGCTCGCCCGTGTGCACGCGCTGGTGCTGCCGCAGGTTGGAGGTCTGCGCGAAGCTCTTGCCGCACACGCCGCACGCGTGGGGCCGCTCGCCCGTGTGCACGTGGCGGTGGCGCCGCAGGCACGACGTGTTGCGGAAGGCCTTGCCGCACTCCCCGCAGGCGTAGGGCCGCTCGCCCGTGTGCAGCCGCAGGTGGTACTGGTAGTGCGACGACCACTTGAAGGTGAGGCCGCACTGGCCGCACGTGAAGGCGCGCAGGCCCGTGTGCACGCGCTGGTGGATGGCCAGCAGCGAGGAGCGCTTGAAGGCCTTGCCGCACTCGCCGCACTGGTAGGGCCGCTCGCCCGTGTGGTCCCGCAGGTGGTAGCGCAGCCCCGAGGAGCCCTTGAAGGCCTTACCGCACTCGGCGCACTTGTAGGGCCGCTCGGCGGCGGCGGCGGCGGGCGCGGGCGGCGGGGCGGGCGGCGGCGGGGCGGGCGTGGCGGGGGCCAGCGGCTCCTGCGGGCAGGTGACCTCGGCCGCCTCGGCCTGCGGGGGCGGGCGCCCGGCCGCCGCCTCCTCCACGTGGCACTGCTGGTGCGCCAGGAGGCTGGCCAGCTGCGGGAAGGCGCCGTCGCAGCTGCCGCAGCGGAAGGCCTGCCCGCCCGCCGCGCCGTGGCTGTGCTGGTGGCGGGAGAGGCCGGCCACCGTGCGGAAGGACTTCCCGCAGGGCAGGCAGGCGAAGCCGGGGGCGGGAGGGGGCTGCGGCTGCGGGGCTGCCGCCGTCGGGGCCGCCTTGGGGGTGTCCGGGGGCGCGTCCGGGGGCGCGGGCGGCGCCTCGGGCCCCGGGCAGGGCTGGTGCTCCAGCAGCAGGTCCTCGCTGCCGAAGCCCAGCTCGCAGCCGGCGCAGCGGTACACCAGCTCCACCGTGGTCTCGGCCGCGGCCAGGAAGAGCTCGGGCACCACGGGCAGGGGCGCGGGCGGCGGGGGCGCGGGCGGGCTGGGCGCCTGCAGGGCCGGCTGCAGGTAGGCGTCGGGGAAGACCTTGGGCGGCGGGGGTGCGGGGGCGGGCGCGGGCGCCGGGGCGGGGGCGGCCCCGTGGGTGCGCTGGTGCAGCTGCAGGTTGGAGGAGTGCGTGAAGGTCTTGGGGCAGAGCGGGCAGCGGAAGGGCCGCTCGCCCGTGTGCACGCGCTGGTGCTGCCGCAGGTTGGTGCTCTGCGTGAAGCTCTTGCCGCACACGCCGCAGCTGTAGGGCCGCTCGCCCGTGTGCACGTGGCGGTGGCGCCGCAGGCTGGACGAGTTCTTGAAGGCCTTGGGGCAGTCGGGGCACGGGTAGGGCCGCTCGCCCGTGTGCTGGCGCAGGTGGTACTGGTAGTGCGACGACCACTTGAAGGCCTGGCCGCACTGGCCGCAGGTGAAGGCGCGCAGGCCCGTGTGCACGCTGCGGTGGATCTGCAGCAGCGACGAGCGCTTGAAGGCCTTGGGGCAGTCGGGGCACGGGTAGGGCCGCTCGCCCGTGTGGCCGCGCTGGTGGTAGAGCAGCGCGGACGAGCCCTTGAAGGCCTTGGGGCAGTCGGGGCACTTGTAGGGCCGCTCGCCCGTGTGCGTGCGCTGGTGGTGCAGGAGCCGCGAGGACCAGCGGAAGGACTTGCCGCACTCACCACACTCGTACTGGGCGGCCGGGGCCGGCGCGGCGGGGCCCGGCTTCTCCCCGGCGCCCTCGGCGGTGGAGGCCGGCGCCATGTCCGCGTGGGAGCCGACCATCACACCTGGGGGGGGGGTTCTGGGTGAGGGGACGGTGCTGCCCCCTCCACCCACCCACACGCAGGGTCATCTCCGCTCCAACCCATGCAGGCCCCGCCCACCCACCCGCAGTGCAGGGCCGCCCTTGGGATCAGGGCCCCGCGTCCCCGTCTGCCCCCCCCCATGCGAGACTTCCGGTGCTAAACTTCCGGCAAATTGGGACCCGGGGTCCCCGGCCTTAGGTCAGCCATCTCCAGGGGCGGGGCCTGGCCTGCAGGGCTGTGCTCAGTGTCCTTAAAGGCGGGGTCTCCCCAGCACTCCCCAGGCTGGGACTCCTCAGACCCGAAGTCCCTCTCCCTGAGAGGCCTCCTCCCTCCCCCCACCCCTGCTCTGCCCCCCTCAGATTGCAGGCCCCCAACACCTTTGCGCAGCGGAAGCCCCTGCGAGCTCCGCCCCCTCCACCACCGCCCACCCGCCCAGCACACCCCTCGTGGTACCGGCCAGGAGTTCCCTGCACCCGCAGCTCTCCCGTCCACTGACCTGCAGGCTGTGCCTCCGCCCCACCCCGGCCTCCCAGCCCCCCTCCCAGCATCAGGGCTGCCGGCTCCCTTGCAATCATGCCCTTGGCTTCCTGGGCTCCTCGCCATCCGGAGACCCCTTTCCCCGGTGCCCTGGCCCAGGCCATGCCTGGTTGTGAGGTTGTGGACGGGACGGGCAGGCGCTCCCAGCAGCAGGAGGGTGAGGCCAGGGATGCTGCAAGCACCCTAGGGCGCCCGGGCAGAGCCCCGCGGCAGAGTGACGGGGGTCAGTGCCAGTGGGCAGAGGCTGGGAAGCCCGCACTGTCCGCTCCCCGCCGCTTGCCTCTGGGCCCACCGGCCCTGAATCCCCACCTATCACAACGTGCCTCATGGCCTGGGCCTGCCCATCCATGTCACCACCAGCTGTCTCTCACCTTTTTCAAAAACAGATATTTGTACTGATGTCCGAGAGGAAGGGAGAGGGAGAGGAGAGAAACATCAAGGATGAGAGAGAATTATCGATCCGCTGCCTCCTGCACGCCACCCCCCGGCCCCAAGTCTGAAGCCCAGGCTTGTGCCCTGACCTGGAATCCAACCGTGACCTCCTGGTTTGTTAGCTGATGCTCAAGCACTGACCACATTGGCCGGGCTGTCTCTCATCTTTTAAAACCATCACCCCTTACCCCACTGCCCAGCTCCTGTGGCTCAATGGGTCAACCTATGAACCTGGAGGTCAAAGTTCGATTCTGGCTCGGGGCACATACCAGGGGTTGCAAGCTCAATGGCCAGTGGGGGGCGTCCAGGAGGCAGGAGATTCTCTCTCATCATTGATGTTTCTATCTCTCCCTAACTCTCTGAAATCAACACAAATATGTTTTGTTTTGTTGTTTTTTTAAAACCTTCGGCCCTGGCCGGTGTGGCTCAATGGATAGAGCCTTGGCCAGAGGACTGAAGGGTCCCAGATTCGATTCCAGCCAAGGGCATATGCCGGGTTGTGGGCTCGATCCCCAGTAGGGGGCGTGCAGGAGGCACCGAATCAATGATCCTCGTTGTTGTTTCTATCTGTCCCTCTCTCCCTTTCTGAAATCAATAAAAATACATTTAAAAAAAATAAAATAAAATGTAAGTGTGTCGCCGAAACCGGTTTGGCTCAGTGGATAGAGCGTTGGCCTGTAGACCGAAAGGTCCCAGGTTCGATTCCGGTCAAGGGCATGTACCTTGGTTGCAGGCACATCCCCAGTGGGGGGTGTGCAGGAGGCGGCTGGTCGATGTATTTCTCTCATCGATGTTTCTAGCTCTCTATCTCTCTCCCTTCCTCTTTGTGAAAAATCAATAAAATATATTTTTTAAAAATGTTAAGTGTGTCCTTTTAAAGCGACAGTTCTCCCAGGACGCTGCCCGGCATGCCTCAAAGGAGAGGCATCCAGCTCTGGAAGGGCCGAGGCCCAGCTTATCCAATAAAGGGCGCCCTTTGCAAAGGGCCAGACCACGCCCTTCCATCAGGCCTGACTTCCCCTTTAAGAGGGTGTTCCTACTGCACCCCAATCTCCATCTCTGATGAGCTAAACTAGGGGCTGCTTTGAAGCCATCTGGATTCACAAGCCTTTTCTGTCAATGTCTGCGCCACTGTCACCGGCCTTTGATAATCCTTTCTTGGGGGGCAGGGGGGGTAGTGAAAGCAGGAAGCTAAGGACCTGCCCCGCCCCCTTTTAAAAGCAGCCCCTTGCCCTTTAAGAAGGCGGAGCCGGCCCTTCGGATAAAAGTCGGAGGTGAAGTAGCGCCCTTCCCTTTAAAACATCCCTTCCGGTTTCACGCTCGCCGCTTCCCCAACGTCTCCGCCCTCCGGTCCCTCCCCCCACCCCACCCCTCCGGTCTCTCACCTGCGGTCCGGACCCGGGGAACGAGCGGAGACCCAGAGACCTCCCGCGGGGGCCGACGGGAAGGCGGAGCCCCGGGCGGCGGCGGTGCAGGAGTGGGGGGCCGGGGAGGGGGGCGGGGGCGCGCGCCCTCCCAACGGCCCCCGGCGCGAGGCACCCAACCTTTATCGGCGGCCACTCGCGCACACAAACCCCGACGTCGCCGTTGGTGCGTCACGACGCCACGTGCACCGAAGCCTCATCCTCGCCCCTCCCATTGGCTTCTGGCCTCGGCGGCCGCTTCCCGGGCTCCTTAGAGCGCAAGGCATCCTGGGAGTTGTAGTTCTTCTCAGGCCCCGACTAACGGGTCTTGGACAGAGGTCGTGGGGGTCAGCCCAAGGAAAAGCAGGGTCTGGGTGCTGGATCAGACGCCCCCCCTTATCAGTATTGATCCCTTTTCGTCTGTGACAAGAGACCCTCCTCCGAGGTGTGGCTTGGGCAAGCCTCGCCCACCAGGGGTGTGGTCAGTCGTGGTCACTGGTCGCCACGCCCAAGCCCTGGGGCTCCCTTCCCGGACCTGAGACAAGCAGGGATTGCCGCCTGCGGAGGTCACCCGAGTTCAAGGTCCCGGCCTCCCGCTGCGGGCCTGGGTGCGGTCCTGCGGGAGCCCGCGCCCTGCAGAGCGGGGGCGGCCCAGGCTCCGAGTCCGAGCCCCAGACTTCTCCCTGCTTCCCAAGCTCAGCCCCCCGCGGGCCTCGGCTTGCAGCCACTCGGCCGAACTTTGCTGCGGGTCATGCAACAGGGTGTCTCTGCTGGGGCAATAATGACATTTGGGCTCGATCAGTACTTGCCGAGGGGCACCCTGTGCGTGTTATGGCGGTCAGCAGCATCCCTGGCCTCCACGCAAAAGGGCCTATAGGGCCCTAGCCAGTTTGGTTCAATGGATAGAGCATCAGCCTGTGGACTGAAGGGTCCCGGGTTCGATTCCGGTCGAGGGCTCTACCCCCAGTAGAGCACTTGCAGGAGGCAGGCAATCAATGATTCTCTCTCGTCATTGATATTTCTCTCTCTCTCTCTCCCTTTCCCTTCCTCTCTGAACTCAATAAAGAGATATTAAAAAAAAAAAAAATACAGCCGAAACCGGTTTGGCTCAGTGGTAGAGCGTGGGTCTGCGGACTGAAAGGTTCCGGGTTCGATTCCAGTCAAGGGCATGTACGCTGGTTGCGGGCACATCCCCGGTGCGGGGGGGTGCAGGAGGCAGCTGGTCTTTGTTTCTCTCTCATCGACGTCTCTGGCTCTCTCCCTCTCCCTTCCTCTCTGTAAAAAATCAATAAAATATATTTTTTTAAAAATACAGCCAATAGCACCCCCCATCCATCCGGCTCCCCTGCCCCATACCTGACAGCTGTCGCCACCCTGATGATGGCCACTGCTCCCAGGCCTTCCCCTCCGCCAGAGGACTGTCCCTTAGCCCCAAAGGTCCTCCTACTCCGTGCCCAGGGGTCAGCAAACTCATGAGTCTGCAGAGCCAAATATCAACAGCACAACGACTGAAATTTCTTTGGAGAGCCACATTTTTTAAACAAACTTCTAACGCCACTTCTTCAAAATAGACTCGCCCAGGACGTTTTTTGTTTATTTGTTTGTTTGTTTGTTTTGTTTTTATTTTTTATAGAGAGGAAGAGGAAGGGAGAGGGACAGAGAGTTAGAAACATCGATCAGCTGCTTGCTGTGCACACACACACACCCCCCACACACACACACACACACACCCTACTGGGGATGTGCCCACAACCAAGGTACATGCCCTTGACCGGAATGGAACCTGGAACTTTTCAGTCCACAGGCTGACGCTCCATCCACTGAGCCACATCAGTTTGGTCCCTCCGTACGTTTTTTTTTATTTATTAAAATATATATTTTATTGATTTTTCACAGAGAGGAAGAGAGAGGGATAGAAAGTTATAAACATGGATGAGAGAGAAACATCGATCAGCCACCTCCTGCACACTCCCCACCGGGGATGTGCCCTCAACCAAGGTACATGCCCTTGACCGGAATCGAACCCGGAACCTTTCAGTCCGCAGACCGACGCTCTATCCACTGAGCCAAACCGGTTTTGGCCCCTCCATACGTTTTTATAAACGGAGTCGGTCTGCGGCTGGGGGAGGGACGCCATACAGAAGCAGGGTGGAGGCGGGAGGGTCAGGCCTGGGCTGGGCTTCGGGCTGGTCCTGATGCCTGGGTGTCCCCCTCCCCAGATTGGAAGGGGATGAGGGGTGGGGTCTCCCGCAGTGCGGCTCTGTTCCCAGTCCCCGTGGGGGCATGCAGAGGCAGTCATTCAGTGATTCTCTCATCATGGATGTTTCCCTCTCTCCCTCCCCTTCCTCTCTGGAATCAATTAAAAAATAAGATAAGCCGAAACCGGTTTGGCTCAATGGATAGAGCTTCGGTCTGCGGACTGAAAGGTCCCGGGTTCGATTCCAGTCAAGGGCATGTACCTTGGTTGCAGGCATATCCCCAGTGGGGGGTGTGCAGGAGGCAGCTGATCGATGATTCTTTCTCATCGATGTTTCTAACTCTCTATCCCTCTCCCTTCCTTTCTGTAAAAAATCAATAAAACATATTTTTTTTTAAAAAAGATAAAAAATAAAAAGATGCAGGAGCCATGGAGGGCGCCTCTGGAAGCCGGAGAACTAAGGGCACGGTCTCCCCTGGCACCTCGGGAAACACCTGGATTCCAGCCCCTGAGCACCTGCCCCCCCCACTCCTGACCTGAGAACTGAGGGAGGGCCGTGCGCTGAGCCCCAGGTGTGCCACAGCGTTCACCCACCTCCTGACCTCCCCCACCCCTGACCTTCCCTCCACTGACCTCTCCCCCTCCTGACCTCTCCCTTTTAAAAAAAAATATATATATATATATTTTTTTTTTTATTGATTTTTTACAGAGAGGAGGAGAGAGAGATAGAGAGCCAGAAACGTCGATGAGAAACATCGACCAGCCGCCTCCTGCACAACCCCAACCGGGGATGTGCCCGCAACCAAGGCACATGTCCCTGACCGGAATCGAACCCGGGACCCTTCAGTCCCCAGGCCGACGCTCTATCCACTGAGCCAAACCGGTTCCGGCACCTCCCCCTTCTTGAGCTCACGCCCCTCCTGGGCCCCCACACCTCCTACTGCCTCTCAGAGCAACAGTGGCCAGGACAGCTGCCACCCGCCAGCACCCTGCGCCTACCACCCAGAGACAAGAGGACCCCATCCCCGCCCGGCCTGCACCCCAGCCTCCCACCTCCCTCCCTCCCAGCCCCCTACCCCCTTCCTCCCAGCGTGGACCCCAGCCCCCCACCCCCTTCCCAGCCTGCACCCCAGCCCCCCACCCCCTCCCTCCCAGCCTGTACCCCAGCCCCCCTCCCTTCCCAGTCTGCACCCCAGCCCCCTACCCCCTTCCCAGCCTGCACCCCAGCCCCCCACTCCCTCCCTCCCAGCCTGGACCCCAACCCCCCTCCCTTCCCAGCCTGCACCCCAGCCCCCTACCCCCTTCCCTTCCAGCCCCCTACCCCCTCCCTCCCAGCCTGCACTGCAGCCCCCACCCCCTCCTTCTCAGCCTGCACCCCAGCCCCACCCCTCCCTCCCAGCCTCCCCCCCCTGCCTCCCTCGCCCCTAATCGAGGGCCCTCCACGCTAACCGCTGCGGTTGACTCAGCCCTGCCCTCGCCTCCGCCACGCGAGCCCTTTGTCACCTTAATTGGCATCTCCAGGCGCCTCGCTCTGCTGCCACCCGCCACCAGCCCAGATCCCAGATCCAGGGGCCAGCTATGTGCTAATTGGGCCCTCCCCGCTCAGCACTCAGCCCCCTCCCTATGTCAGCCCCCCCCCACACACACACACACACACACTGTCCCTCTGACCCGGGCCAGTTCCCAGGACACAGGGACAGGAGGGCACAGGGGGGACGCCCCGTCCTCATTCCCGGGGCCCTACCCCCCTCCCCAGGCCCCCCCCCTGCCAGTCCTCTCCGCAGCCCTGAGCCCAAGCCTGGCTGCCTGCCTCTCCACTCCGATTTGGGGGAGCTCTCTGATCAACAGGGACACAGAAGACAGCCACCCCGGGGCGCCCAGGCCATGCACCCCGGGGCGCCCGCCGCCCCTGGAGTGTCGGAGCCCACCCCCCGAGAGCTGTGTGCCTTTGTGAGCAGGGCGGCCACCCACGTGCTGCGGGCCCTGCACCCCCGGCGGCCCCGGCCCCCCAAAAGGAGGCCCAACCACCGGAGGTTCCTGCACAATCAGATCTGCAGGTGAGCGGGCGGGGGGGGGGGGCAGGGGGAGGGGGGCCGGAGCCCTGAGTCTGGGGAGAGGAGCGGCCCCCAGGGCTGGGAGCAGCCAACACTCGGGGATTCATTTATATATATTAACATATAGTTTATTGATTTTGTACAGAGAGGAAGGGAGAGGGATAGAGAGTTAGAAACATCGGCCAGCTGCCTCCTGCACACTCCCCGCTGGGGAGGTGCCCACTGAAAGATGAAACAGAGAGGGCTGGAGACCGGGATGGCAGGACACAGGCTTTATTTATTTATTTATTTATTTATTAATATTTTATTGATTTTTTACAGAGAGGAAGGGAGAGGGATAGAAGGTCAGAAACATCGATGAGAGAGAATCACCGATCAGCTGCCTCTTGCACACCCCCTACTGGGGATGTGCCGGCAACAAAGGTACATGCCCTTGACCGGAATCGAACCCGGGACCCTTGAGTCCACGGGCCGACGCTCTATCCACTGAGCCACGCCGGTTTCAGCAAGATACAGGCTTTATTGAGAAGAAGAGTACCACTGCCCGCTGCTTCCAGAGAGAGGGAGCGGAAGAGAGCGCGGGCCAGGGTCCACGTACTTTGAAGGGGAGGGTAGGGGATGGGGCTTAGGGCACTCAGCACACGCTGATGGGTGATAGGGACCTAGGGACTTAGGGACGGGAGCTCAGGGTATTTGGCCGGTGCTGATTGGTGGTTCAGAGCTCAGGAATGTCTGGCCGCAGGTGGGGTTTACGTCCCTCCATCAACTGGAGGAAGGAGGACCTGTCACCCCCAACCAAGACACATGCCCTTGACCGGAATCGAACCTGGGACCTTTCAGTCCACAGGCTGATGCTCTATCCACTGAACTAAGCCGATTTCGGCGAATTTATTTATATTTTTATTGATTTCAGAGAGGAAGGGAGAGGGAGAGAGAGAGAGAAGCATCCATGATCAGAGAGAATCATGGATGGGCTGCCTCCTGCACGCCCCACCCTGGGGGTCAAGCCCACAACCTGGGCAGGAGCCCCGACTGGGAATGGAAACCTGACTTCCTAATGCCGCTGTTGGCAAACTGCGGCTCGAGAGCCACAGGCGGCTCTTTGGCCCCTTGAGAGTGGCTCTTCCACAAAAGACCACGGCCCGGGCGAGTCTGCTTTAAAGAAGTGGCGTTAGAAGAAGTTTAAATTTGCCCTAACCAGTGTGGCTCAGTGGATAGAGCCTCGGCCTGCGGACGGAAGGGTCCCGGGTTCGATTCCGGTCAAGGGCATGTATCTTGGTTGCGGGCACATCCCCAGCGGGAGGTGTGCAGGAGGCGGCTGATCGATGCTTCTTTTTTTTTTTTTTTAATATATTTTATTGATTTTGTACAGGAAGGAAGGAAGAGAGATAGAGAGTCAGAAACATCGATGAGAGAGAGTCATCGATCAGCTGCCTCTTGCACACCCCCCACTCGGGATGTGCCCGCAACCAAGGTACATGCCCTTGACCGGAATCGAACCCGGGACCCTTCAGTCCCCAAGCCGACGCTCTATCCATTGAGCCAAACCGGACCCGGCTGATCGATGCTTCTAACTCTATCCCTCTCCCTTCTTCTCTGTAAAAAAACCAACAAAATATATATTTTTTAAAAAATAGGTAAATGTCCAAAGTGCGCAGGTGCGGCCAGAGAGGGGCCACACATCTGGACCTGCCCGACCCCAGAGGAGGGACGGGGGCAGGGAGGCAGCACAGGGGAGGAGGAGGGGGGTGTAGGGAGGGACCCCCCGCCCCCGGGCTGGGGGCCAGGAGGTGCTCCCCAGCCGATACCCAGATGCCCATCTCTCTCCGCAGGCAGTTTGCCAGGATCGAGGCTGCCACCCAGCGCCTGGCCCTGTCCATCCTGTCCCAGGAGGCGCCTCCCCGGAGACCGCTGCCCCGCAGACCGCCCCCGCCGCCCCCGTCCCCCTTCCTGGGCGTGGCCCGCGCCCTGGCCCCCAGCGAGGAGGTGCCCGGGGCCGGCCCCCGCCTGAGCCTGGCCGCGCTGGAGGCCTCCGGCCTGGACCTCCTCCCCAGCATCTCGCTCTCCCCGGAGCCGGAGCCGCCCCCGATGCCCGCCGGCCCTTCCCGGCCTGCAGGCGGCCAGCCAGACCTCCAGGAGGGCCTGCGTCCCTGCGACCCCCCGCCCCTGCCCCTGCCCCCGTCCCCGCCCCCGCCCCCGCCTGGCCTGCGGGGAGGGCCCCAGCTCCTGGTCCCCGAGGGCGCCTGGGGGGGCAGGTGGGAGGTGATGCCCTGTGCTCACCTTTCTCAGGGGGATCCTGAGGGCTGGGGGGCCCCTGAGGCCTGGGGGACCTGCTTCCCATGACGCCCACCGCCCAGCTCAGGCCCTGCGCCGGCCCGAGGCCCCCCCAGGACAGCTCACCACCCCCGCCCCTGCCAGGGGCCCCCTCCCACTCCTCTCCTGGCGACTTCTGGGAAAATGGCCCAAGGCCAGACCCCCTTCCTCACTCACTGCCCCTGAGGCCTGGGCCTCACCTCTGCCTCTTCCAGGCAGGCCCCTCCGCCGTCCCCCCTGCACCTCCTCCCTTCCTTCTCCCCAGCCCCACACCAGCCCCCTGTCGCCCCGGCTCATCTCTGCCTGACGTCTGGTCTCATCTCATTTATTCGCAAGGATGCATGGAGCACCTACTGTGTGCTAGGGATTCAGCTGTGAATAAAATAAAGGAGATCTCTGCGCTTGTGGAGTTCACATTTGGGGGGAGGGGAGGGAGATCAGGGGACTGACAAAAATTAAAGCATGCTTACTTTATTTTTATTTTTTTTAAATATATTTTATTGATTTTTTACAGAGAGGAAGGAAGAGGGATAGAGAGTTAGAAACATCGACCAGCTGCCTCCTGTACACCCCCCACTGGGGATGTGCCCGCAACCAAGATACATGCCCCTGACCGGAATTGAACCCGGGACCCTTCAGTCCGTAGGCTGACGCTCTATCCACCGAGCCAAACCGGTTTCGGCAAAAGCATGCTTACTTTTAAAAAAACAACAACAACTTTTAAATATATTTTATTGACTTTTTACAGAGGGAGAGGAAGAGAGAGTTAGAAACATCGATCAGCTGCCTGTTGCACACCCCTTACTGGGGATGTGCCCGCAACCAACATACATGCTCTTGTACCCGAGACCCTTGAGTCCACAGGCCAATGCTCTATCCACTGAGCCAAACTGGTTTCGGAAAGCATGCTTACTTTTTAAAAATATATATTTTATTGATTTGTTACAGAGAGGAAGGTAGGGGGGAGAGACTTAGAAACAATGAGAGCCCTAACTGGTTTGGCTCGGTGGATAGAGCGTCGGCCTGCGGACTGACGGGTCCCAGGTTCGATTCCGGTCAAGGGCATGTACCTTGGTTGCGGGCACATCCCCAGCGGGGGGTGTGCAAGAGGCAGCTGATCGATGTTTCTCTCTCATTGATGTTTCTAACACTCTGTCCTTCTCCCTTCCTCTCTGTAAAAATAAATTAAATATTTTAAAAAAATCGATGAGAGAGAAACACAATCAGCTGGGGATGTGCCCGCAACCAAGGTCCATGCCCTTGACCGGAATTGAACCCGGGACCCTTCAGTCCGTAGGCTGACGCTCTATCCACCGAGCCAAACCGGTGATGGCTACTTTTTAAAAATATATTTTTTTGTTAATGTCAGAGAGGAAGGGAGAAGGAGAAAGAGAGGTGTATATATAGAAGCATCAACAATGAGAGAAAATCGCTGATTGGCTGCCTCCTGCACGTCCCAGGCTGGGGATTAAGCCCACAATCCGGGCACGTGACCAGAATCGAACCCAGGACCCTTCAGTCTGCCGGCCGGTGCTCTATCCACTGAGCCACACCTGCTAGGGCTATGCATACACTTTTGAGCGCGAGATAAATCTCCAATTTCAGATTGGAATCAGGGCTCTGAAGAAGATAAAAAAAAAACTTCGACCTTACCGAGTGGTATCTGACAGCGGGTGGTCAGGGGAAGGCTTGGAAGACAAAGAAGCTGCCAGTGCAAAGGTCTGGGTTCCGGGCAGCGGGAACAGCACATGCCAAGGCCCTGGGGCGGAGCCTTGGGGAACAGCAGGGGGTGGGGGGAAGGGAGAGGGGAGAGGGGGAGGGTGACAAAGGCAGGCCGTGAACTAGGAGAAATTTGGATTTTATTCCAAGAACCAGGGGAAGTTCTCTCTGTGACCCTCTCAACCCCATTTCCAAACAAAAAGTCTACATACTGGGCCTAGCTGGCGTGGCTCAGTGGATAGAGCCTCTGCCTGGGGACTGAAGGGTCCCAGGTTCAATTCTTGCCAAGGGCACAGGCCCAGGTTGCAGGCTCGGTCTCCAGTGGAAGGGCGTGCAGGAGGCAGCCGATCCATGATTCTCTCTCATCGTGGATGTTTCTATCTCCCTCTCCCTCTTCCTTCTTTTCTGAAATCAGTAAAAATATATTTTTAAAAAGTCTACATACTCTGACCCCCACCCACACTAGGAGGCAGGTGCCGTACAGATGGGGAAACCGAGGCTGCGGAGAACGCAGATTGAGGGGGATAGGGGCTGGGAGGATCTTTTTTGTTTGTTTTTTAATCCTCCTTCTTTTAGATAGAGTGGAAAGAGGCGGGGAAGGGGGAGAGAGAAACAGCATGTGAGAGATGGGTTAGAGAGACTGGTAGCCTCCCCCACGTGCCACGACCGGGGCCAAGGATCGAACCTGCAACCTAGCTACGTGCCCTTGACCTGGACTCGAACCCGAGACCCTTCAGTGCTGGGACCGGACCGGCGCTCTAACCACTGAGCCACCGGCCAGGGACAGATAATCCTAAACTCCAGGCTTCCTGGCGCTTTTAATCTTTGGCTGGAAAGTGCGTGGGCCGCCGTAAGTTTCTGTGCAGACAAGAAGGCGGGGGTTGGAACCCCCCCTCGTCCTGGGCAGGGTCCCCCCACTCCTCCCCCAGCCTCCGGGTCCGGTCTGTGCAGCGCGGCGGCGGCGGCGCCACCCACCTCCCAGCTGGACTCCAGCTTCTCCGCACTCAGCGCGCTGCTCCGCCCCGCGCCCGCCACTCACGCCCTCTCTAGCCTCCCATTGGTCAGGTGCTGGCTCCCCGCCCCTCGGCGCGGGCCAATCACGCTTTCAGGACTGACACCGAGCGGCGCTCGCGGATTGGCCAGGCGTGGGGGCCGGGCAGAGCTCGGAGCGCGCCGATTGGGCAGTTCGGCCAGAGGGGGCGGGACGCGACGGCGCGGGGGCTGGGCCACAAGTCGCGACCCTGCCAAACCGTGACCCGGGAGGACACCGGGCGGGTGGGGCGGCCCTGGCGGCGGAAGTCCGGGCCCCGAAAGGTGAGTGAGTCCCGGCCGCCTGCGGAGGGCCGAGGGCCGGGCTCGAACCCAGCGCCCTTCCCGCCTCGCAGGTGGGAACCGGACGCCCCGAGAGCCCGGCCGGGGGAGGCCTCCCGCCCGCCACTGCCCAACCCGCCCTCGAACCCTCCGCGGGTCGCTCCGCCCTCTCTGCGTCCCGGGACACGTTTCCCTTCGTCCCAGCGGAGTGGGTGGGTTTGCCCCCCACTTCCTCCTCCTCCGAGGAAACTGGGGTTCAGACCGAGCCTGAAACTTGCCCAAAGTCACCCAGCCGGGGCGTCCGTCCGTTCGGTGCTTGGACGTCCCCTTGGCCTCGTGGGGATCTAAGCAGCCCCCCCACCTGCAGCCCCCCCACCTGTTCCCCCTAAGTTGCTGCCCACCTCGGGCCGCCCCTCCTCTTCCAGCCTTGGGCTCCCCCTCCGTTCTGCACCGTCCCCGTCCCTCCCCCACGGCACCCCCAAATCTGTCTCCAGCTCAGACTCAACACATTTACACACCCATCCTCCCCCAACTGTTCCTCTTCTCCCCAGAACCGGTTTCCGGTCCCTGCCAGTCATGGGCCAGGAACCTGGGGGTCTCCCTGCCCTTCCCTCGTCCCGCAGCCAGGCCCCCAGGGCCCCAGCCCAGCCCCCCAGGAGCCAGCAGGACATCCCTATTTTATTTTACATTCTGAAGATTTTATTTTCTTAAAACATATTTTATTGATTTTTTTTATAGAGAGGAAGGGAGAGAGAGAGAGTTAGAAACATCCATCAGCTGCCTCCTGCACACCCCCCACCGGGGATGTGCCCGCAACCAAGGTACATGCCCTTGACCGGAATCGAACCTGGGACCCCTCAGTCCTCAGGCCGAGGCTCTATCCACTGAGCCACACCGGCTTCGGCACGTTCTGCAGACTTTAAATGGAAGGATACCATATATGCAAGAAAGTGGCCACCTCACCCACACGCGGCTGGAATACCTTCGCTCACACAGTGAGCGCCCTGGTGCAGAGTCACATCCCCAGCCCCCCCGAACCCCTCTGCCACTGCCCGCCCCGGGGATCAGCCTCGGGCAGGTTTGGCTGAGTTCTCACTTGACTGCGCCGATGTGTCCCCGGCCACACAGCCTGCTGCGCACTGTCCAACAGTCGGAAGGAGCAGCACAGCGAGAACCGGGCCTTCGCACTGTCCCTGGGTGCCCTGACACTCCCCCACCCCTGTCCCATCCGCCCCACCCCACCCCCCCAAGCCCCTGCTGCCTCCGAGCCTGCCCGGGGCAGCTATACATAGCACAGGACATTCTTTCCCCCCTTCTTTTTTGGGGACACAAACGGAGCACTGGTACACCAGTACAGGCTGTTCTGTGTGTCTCCCGCCCCCGCCCCCCACGGTTAGCATCCTTTGAACGCCTTTCCCTATCGTGACTGTCCTGGCTGCCCAGAACCCCGCAGGGCGGATGTGCCAGAGCTTATGTAACGGGACCCTGATCTCGGGCGTTCAGAGCGACCCGAGTGGAGGCAGCCGCGTGGGCCCAGGCGGGCCATGGCCAGGCCGACGCGGTGGCTGTGGGCTCCATCCCAGTGGGCGGCGTGCAGGAGGCAGCCCATCCATGATTCTCTCTCATCATCCATGTTTCTCTCTCTCTCCCTCTCCCTTCCTCTCTGGAATCAGTAAACATATTTTAAACAAAATAGAAAGGTGTGATCCAGCCCTGGGAGCAGCAGGTGGGGACTGCGGGTGGAGATGGAGAACGGGACCCTGGGCAGAGAAACCGCACCCGGGCCTGACCCCGGCCGCCCGCCCCCTGCCCTCCCTCAGGACATGGCGGCTGCCAAGCCCAGCCTGGGCCGGCTCCTCCCGGGGTCGTCCATCCTCTTCCTGTGTGACATGCAGGAGAAGTTCCGCCATGTGGCCTACTTCCCCCAGATCGTCTCTGTGGCCGCCCGCATGCTCAAGGTACGCCCCGCCTCCCTCAGACCCGGATCCAGCCCCGCCTCCCTCAGACCCGGATCCAGCCCCGCCTCCCTCAGACCCGGATCCAGCCCCGCCTCCCTCAGACCCGGATCCAGCCCCGCCTCCCTCAGGCCCGGATCCAGCCCCGCCTCCCTCAGACTGGGGATCCAGCCCCGCCTCCCTCCGACTGGGGATCCAGCCCCCTCCTCCCTCAGACCCGGATCCAGCCCCGCCTCCCTCAGACGGGGGATCCAGCTCCACCTCCCTCAGACTGGGGATCTAGCCCCGCCTCCCTCAGACCCGGATCCAGCCCCGCCTCCCTCAGACCAGGGGATCTAGCCCCGCCTCCCTCAGACGGGGGATCCAGCTCCACCTCCCTCAGACCAGGGGCTCCAGCCCCTCCTCCCTCAGACCCGACCCAGCCCCTCCCTCAGGCTCGGGCCTCTGCCCCGCCCGGCACAGGTGGCCCGCCGGCTGGAGGTGCCCACGGTGCTGACGGAGCAGTACCCGCAGGGCCTGGGCCCCACGGTGCCCGAGCTGGGGGCCGAGGGCCTGCGGCCCCTGACCAAGACCTGCTTCAGCATGGTGCCCGTGGCGCGGCAGGAGCTGGACGCCCGGCCACAGCTGCGCTCCGTGCTGCTCTGCGGCATCGAGGCCCAAGTCTGCATCCTGGTGAGGCCCCGCTGACCCGGCCCTCTCCCTGCACCCTCCCGTGCCCCAGCCTGACCCCGACCCCTGACCCCTGACCCTCAGGACTCCTCGCCGCTGGGGCGCCCGCGCTGCCCGAGGACCCCATTGTAACCGGGGGGCAGCAGGGAGGGGGGCTTCTGCCTGCTCTGAGCTCCCTCATCCCACACCAGCGTCCCAGTCCCCACCCGACACCCCTGTTCTCGTCTGGGCTTGGCCCTCACCTCTCTCTGCCCCAGAACACAGCCCTGGACCTCATGGATCGGGGGCTGCAGGTCCACGTGGTGGTGGACGCCTGCTCCTCCCGCAGGTGAGGGGCCCGGGGGTGGCTGCACGGGGTGTGGCCGGGGCTCCGTGGAGGCCGGGGCCGGGGCCGGGCCATCCACAGGGCTGACCCCCGCCCCGCAGCCAGGTGGACCGCCTGGTGGCACTCGCCCGGATGCGGCAGAGCGGCGCCTTCCTCTCCACCAGCGAAGGGCTCATCCTGCAGCTCGTGGGGGACGCTGCGCACCCCCAGTTCAAGGAGGTACCGGCTCCCAGCCCCCCACCCTCCGTGCACCGGGCACATGTCCCCCCGGCGCCCACCTCGCCTTCTCCGATGCATCGGGAACGTGCACATCCTGGAACACACAAGGCGCCGCCTCCAGTGGAGCTCAGCTCGGGAGTCACCCTGCCAATCGTTATCAATAAGAGCAGCGGCTGGTGGGCAGTGAGGACTGGAGAGAGAGGGGGCGGGGGAGAGAGAGGAGAGCGAGGGAGGGAGGGAGAGAGGAGGGGAGGAGGCAGCAGGCAGCGAGGGGCTTGCACAGGACGGTCTAGGAGGCCTGGAGAAGGTGGCTGAGGCCTGGAGGGCGCCAGGCAGACAGGGAAAGTCAGCCCAGCAGGGGGCCCTGGAGGTGGGGCCCCGGACCCTCCGCTGCCCCCCTCCCCCCGCCGCTGGCATGCAGGTCCAGCCTCCGCGCCCACCTCCCGGGGCTTGGATGTATGCATGCCTGACCGGGCGGTTCCCGCTCCGCCCGCCCTGGGCCTGGGGGGGCACAGGCAGGACATGCCCGGATTGGACATCCCTGGCCCTCTGGGCTCTGCCTTCCTCTCCTCTCAGTCCTGAGCCTTTATGGAGCACCTCCTGTGTGCCAGCCACTGGGACAGGCCTGGGGCAACAGCAAAAGCCAGTCAGTGCCCCTTACACACTGTGGCCAGAGCTGGGGGGTGGGGGGTTGGCGTGCAGAGAGTGTGAGAAACCAGATAGAAAGCAGCGGGAGGCCCTTGGGGGTGGGGTGGGGCCCTTGAAGTGGAGACCTGCAGGGGGAGGAGCAGCCGGTCATCCGAAAGTGCTCCCGGCAGGGGGACAGCTGGGGCAAAGGCCTGGCAGGACACACACACGATGGACTTGCCTCATCCAGGGACTGTCAGGCACTGCGTGCTGGGCTGTGGGGAGGGGAGCCTGGAGGAGCCAGGCCAGGTCCTCAGGGTCCGGGGCTTTCAGCGAGGGGCAGCGGGGGGCCTCGTGCTGCGGTTGGGCAGGGGTGGGGACCGGGGGACGCCATCGTGGATGCGGTGGGGACCCGGGCTCTGCCTTTCCTGCTTGCTTCCTGCCGGCCACTGGGGCTCACTGGTGGGTGCAGGGCGGGGCTTTGGGAGAGGGCACCCAGGGTGGGCCTCCAGGCTGGTGCCTACCGAGGGGCTGAACTGAGAGGCAGAGAGGGGTCCCGGGGCAGCCAGCACCCAGAGGCAGGGGATAAATGAGTCTGGAGTGAGGGGCCAGGCGCGGGCTGGGTTTGGAGGCGGGGCATTGAGATGACTGAAGAAGAAGGTATAGACGGGCCCCGAGACAAAGCCCATCATCCAAGCAGAGGTATGTATCCATTGATTTTTTAGAGAGAATGAGAGGGAGGGGCAGAGACAGAAATGTCAATGTGAGAGGGACACACCGATTGGTTGCCTCCTGCACATGCTCGGGGAGGGGGGGGGGGAAGCCCATAACTGAGGTACGTGCCCTTGACTAGAATCGAACCCAGGACCCTTCAGTCCGCCGCCTGATGCTCTATCCACTGAGCCACACCAGCTAGGGCCAAGCCCATGGCTCTTAGCAGCCCAGGCCAGCAAAGCAGGCAAACGGCAGGCGATCGGGCGCTAACTCGGGTGGGCGGTGAGAGGGAGGCCCCAGGAGAAGTTCTGAGAGGAGGGAGCGGTTGGCATGGCCAGAGGGCAAAGGAGAAGAGGGGGCGGCGCCCCTCGGATCCGCCCGGGAGGCGGGGGCCCTGGGCTCTTCCTGACACCCTCCTCCCCCTGCAGATCCAGAAGATCATCAAGGAGCCCGCCCCGGACAGCGGGCTGCTCGGCCTCTTCCAAGGCCAGAACCCCCTCCTCCGCTGAGCTCGCCTCCGCCGGCGGGACACCTCCCCCTTCCCGTCACCGGGCCGCGGTGGAAGCGCCCTCCCCCACCCCTGGATCCCAGGAGTGGTGCAGTCCGCCGGGAGTGCCGCCCCTCGGGAGCGGAGGCGGGTGCTGCCTTGCTATTGGGCGGCGGCTCCCGGAAATGCAAATGAGCCCCATGGAGGCCGACGGCCGTTGGCTGAGCCGAGCTGGGGGCGGGGCTCGGCCCCGGGCCCCTTCAAGGGCCGGGAAGTGGGGGGGGGGAGGCGTGTCACGGGCTGTGTGGGACCCGGGCTCGCGGAATAAACCCCGATGTGGCTGAGGACCGAACCATTCTTGGGTTTGGGGGGTGTCCCGGGGGCGACGGGGGGCTGCGGGCGGCGGGGAGAGGGGTCCCCAGCAGGTGGAGAGGGGGCGGCGCCTCCTCACAGCCACCGGCGGGCGCCGGGGGAAGGCGAGGGCCGGCCGGCACAGCTGCTCGGGGAAGCGGCGCCCGCGGGGCCCCCGCGCGCCGCCCGCCGCCCCCCGCCCGCGCGCAGCCCGCCCGGCGGCTGCAGACACGCGCTCGCGCCGCCGCCCCCGGCCGGTCCCCCGCGCCGCCGCCCCGGCTTCCCCGAGGGTCCCGCGGCGGAAAGTGAGGTGAGCGCGGAGGGGGAAACTGAGGCACGGGGTCGTGGGGACGGCAGGGAGGAGGAGACTGGCATGCGGATGGACGGATGGGAGGGAGGACAGACACCTCTGTCTGAGTGGTCCCTGCGCCCCTAGGACGCAGGGGGCAGGGGGTCCACGGGGGGCTCCGGAATTCCGCAGCTCCCTTAGAAATCTGGGGGCCGGGATTCTACCGACCCCCCCCCCCATCAAGGCCCCTCGACCCCCTGAGATTCGCAGTCCTTGGTCCCCATCCGCCCCCAACCTTGGGGACCTAGGAAGGCAACCGAGTCCCCCGAGAACCCAGGCATCAGCGCTCACAGCCGGTCCGCCCCCACTGGGGAGCCAGAGCCCACTAGCCCCGAACCGAGGCCGCCCCCCCCCCCCACCCGAAGGCCGGGAGCCCGCATCCCAACACCCGGCAACCCCCTCCCCAGGGGCCTAGGAGTCCCAGCTCTTCCTCCGGGAGCCCCTGGGGCCCGGCGCCGGCGCCCCTGGCCCCCGCCTTCCGGATCCAGGTCCCCCCTCCTCAGCCCCAGCCGGGAGCATCGCGTCCGGGAGGCCGCGCTCGCGTCGCCATGGCAACAGGAGTCTATTTTGCGCCAGGAACACAGCTCGCTCCGCAGCGCCCCCCTGCCCGCGCCTGCAGCCCGGGCGAGGGAGAGAGGGGGACCGGGAGGGAGGCTGGGGTCCGCAGGGGGACGCACAGAGACATGCATAGGGACAGATCTGTAAACGGCACACCTGGGCAAGAGGCAGATGCGGGATCAGAGGCTCAGAGACGGGCATGTGCAGACGGAGACACAGGACGGACAGACGGACAGAGGGCAGGGGGGATGCTGGCGGCCGGAAAACACTCAGGCGCAGCCGGGGACCTAGACAGAGACGCAGAGATGCGGGCGAGGAGACGCGTCTAGACACCCCAGAGACCAGGACCCAGGGCGCATCCCGCCAGAGGCCGCCCCGCGGCGGGTGGACCGGGAGGCACGGCCCCCGGAGGCCCAGGGACCGCGGGCTGCGGGCGGGGCCGCGGGGCCGGGGCCGCTGCGGAGTGCTGTGAGCCTGAGTTCCGTCTCTCCCCCAGTCCCCGCCTCCACGGGGAGGGGGCGGGGGAGTGGGGGCAGCAAGCCCAGGACCCCTCCATGTCTCCCTCCGCTCCCCCTAACCCCCCCCAATGTCTCCCTCCGCTCCCCCACACCCCCCATATCTCCCCCCGAACCCCACCTGCTGGCCCGCCTCCTCTTGGCAGCTTTCCATCTCCCAACCCCAAACCGCCCTCACCCCCTTCCTAGGCGTTAGGACCCCTCTCCACCGGCCTGCCTCTGCCTCAGACAGAGGCTCCAGCCCCTGCAGACCCCTCCAGCGCCCAGCTCCCCGGGGCCGGGCCCGGTTTTTTTCCTGAGTCTCTGCTCCCCTCTGGGGGCCTCTGTCCCCCCTCCCGCGGTCCTTCTCCCTGTCCTCCCCGGTCCTGCTTCATCTCTCCTAATCACCCCCTCCAGGCTCCTCCCAGTCAGCTCACCTGCCCCCAACACCCAGCCCCCCCAGCCCCGGCTCCCCCCTCCAGCCGGCAGGGGCAGGAGGGGGTGGGGCCAGAGGTTGGGGCAAAGTGCTGTGCAGGGTGGCAGGTGGAGGAGGGGAGTCTCCAAGAGTGCCAGGACCAGTGGGGCCTGCTGTGGGACCCCCCCCCCCCATCCTCCAGCTGGCTCCTCTGTCCATCCATCTACGTCACTTAGGGCTGCGGGGGGCAGCAGGCTTCTGGGCCTGAGCCTGGGCATGCGGGGTGCAGGGAGTGGGGAGATGGGGCTGGGGGTCCCCACCTCTCCACCTGTGGAGGAGAAAAGTGTGTGTGTGAGTGAGCAGGGGTGCGGGCAGGGGTGCAGTTGTGTGTGTGTGTGAGGGGGTGTCACATGCCTGCTTCCCAAATCTCCTCCACTGGGGAGGGTGTGTGTGCACGTGTGTGTGTGCACCCCGAGCTTGCATGACTTGGGGCTGTGATGCTGTGACCGCGTGTCCGTCCGCGTGAAGCTGGCTCGGGCAGGGCCTTGCCCGTGCTCCTGAGCTGTGTGTGGCCCCGGGTGGCATGGTCGGGTCTGAGTTGTGTCCGGTCTTGCGTGCCGGGGCCGAACATGCCGACATGGGTGGCCGTGGCCGCGTGGGGCCCGGTGTGTTGAGAGGAGGCTCCAGGAGGGCCCTCCGGATGCGTGTTGTGTCTGAGACGCTGGGTGGGTGCCCTGTGCTGTGTCTCCTGTGTGTGTGTGAGTGTGTGTGTGTGTGTGTGTGTGTGAGTTCTGTTGTATGAGTTTTAAGGACAGACTTGGTCCCCTGTGTCCCGGGTCTGCTGGCCACTCAGTCTACCCTGGGGTGTGTGTCCCCTTCCCACCAGTAGGTGGTGCCCTGCACGCATCCGGAGGCATGAGCTGTGTGTGTGTGTGTGTGTGTGTGTGTGTGTGTGTGTGTGGTGTCTGGGTCTGAGGGGCTGTCACTCCCCCCCCCCCGTGGCCGGTGCTGTATCCTGGGTGTGAGCACAGATGCGCAGTGGGGAGGCAGTGGGGTCTGTCAGCGGAGGGAGAGTGTGTCCCTGCAGCCAGGGGGGCGGGGCGGGCACTGCTGGCCTTCTGGGCTTTCCCACAGGTGAGGCATCTGCCCCACCCCATGCTGCTCCCCCGGCTGGGGGGGGGGCAGGTGGCTGGTACCCTTGCATGAGCCTGAAAAGGATGCTCCTTCCCCCAACGCACACAGCCCAGTCCTCACTCCTGAGGGAGGAGAGCCCCTCTGGGTCCCAGCACCCTAATTCTAGCCCTAGCCCTAACCCAGCACCCTAACCCTAACCCAGCACCCTAGCCCTAACCCAGCACCCTAACTCTAGCCCTAACCCAGCACCCTAACCCTAACCCAGCACCCTAACTCTAGCCCTAACCCAGCACCCTAACTCTAGCCCTAACCCAGCACCCTAGCCCTAACCCAGCACCCTAGCCCTAACCCAGCACCCTAACTCTAGCCCTAACCCAGCACCCTAACCCAGCACCCTAACTCTAGCCCTAACCCAGCACCCTAACCCAGCACCCTAACTCTAGCCCTAACCCAGCACCCTAGACCTAACCCAGCACCCTAACTCTAGCCCTAACCCAGCACCCTAGACCTAACCCAGCACCCTAACTCTAGCCCTAACCCAGCACCCTAACCCTAGCCCTAGCCCTAACCCAGCACCCTAACTCTAGCCCTAACCCAGCACCCTAACTCTAGCCCTAGCCCTAACCCAGCACCCTAGCCCTAGCCCTAACCCAGCACCTAGCCCTAACCCAGCACCCTAACCCAGCACCCTAACCCTAGCCCTAGCCCTAACCCAGCACCTAGTCCTAACCCAGCACCCTAACCCAGCACCCTAACCCTAGCCCTAGCCCTAACCCAGCACCCTAACCCAGCACCCTAATCCTAGCCCTAGCCCTAGCCCTAACCCAGCACCCTAGCCCTAACCCAGCACCCTAACCCTAGCCATAACCCAGCACCCTAACCCTAGCCCTAGCCCTAGCCCTAACCCCACTGCAGGCGGCAGCCCGCAGCGAATGAAGGTCCGCGGCCTGGGTGCCGGGGGCGGGGGAGGAGGGGGGGGGGCTCCAGCAAATGAGGAACCTGCTGGAATGTTGGTGTCTCATTTGGAGACAGACTGACTGACAGACAGACACCTGACATCTGATCATTAGGTCTGGCTCAGGGAAAGACACAAGCGTGTGAGGTGACTGAGGACCACAGGGTCTAAGCCCGAGGTTCCCCGCGGGGCCAGCTGTGCCCGGGACATCTGGGGGCGCCTGGGGCATCCTGTCCGGCCGGATGCGGGGGACGCGCGGCCCCCGCACCCAGTACGTGCTGCTGCACAGCCGGCCCCCTGGCCAGCAGCTCCCCCCGGGACCCACGCCCTCTCCCCACCTGCTGGACTACAGCTTCTCAACGGCAATCTCTCTCCCCTTCCCCGCCTCCCCCACCCACTCCTCTCCTGTCCCCCTCCTCCCCTTCCCCTCCCCTCCCCTCCTCTCTCACCCCGTCTGCCCTCTTCCTCGCCCGTCATTCACTCCCGTCCTGTCCGTCCTATTTCTCCTCCGCCATCTGACGCCTCCTTCCCGATCTTTCCTCCCATCCATCACCCCCGCGGGTCCTTCCGTTCCACCCTTGTCCTGTCTCATTCTGTTCGCCGCCCTCCCCTCCCTCCCCGCCCGTGCGCCCCTCCTCCTCCACGCCCGTGGGTCCCCCAACGTTGGGCCCATGCCTCTCCCCTCCACTCATCCTGTCTCCCTCCCCTCGTCCCCCTTCCTCATCCCTCTGCCCACCCGTCCCCACACTCCCCCCTCCGGACCTCCCTCTCCGCCCTCCGCTGCAGCCCCGGTTCTCCGCTCAGCCTGGCGGCCCGGGCAGCCTCCTGCGCACCCCATGCCGGCCCCGCTGCTCCTCGGGACCCTGCTGCTCCTGGCCTCGGCCGCCGGCCCGGCCGCGGCGCGCCCGCCCAACGCCACGAGCGCCGAGCCGCCGGGCCCGCTGCCCGCGCTGCTGGCGCACCTGCGGCGCCTCACCGGGGCCCTGACCGGCGGCGGCGGCGGCGCGGGGGGCGCGGGCGCCAATGGCACGCGGACCGGCCCCGCGGGCGGCGCGGGCGCGGCGGCGCGGGCGCCCCCTCCGGCGGAGCTGTGCCACGGCTACTACGACGTGATGGGCCAGTACGACGCCACCTTTAACTGCAGCACCGGCTCCTACCGCTTCTGCTGCGGCACCTGCCACTACCGCTTCTGCTGCGAGCACCGCCACATGCGCCTGGCGCAGGCCTCCTGCTCCAACTACGACACGCCGCGCTGGGCCACCACGCCGCCGCCCATGGCCGGGGGCGCGGGGGGCGCGGGGGGCGCGGGCGGGGGGCCCGGGCCCGGCCAGGCCGGCTGGCTGGAAGGGGGCCGGGCGGGGGGCAACGGGATGCGCGGGGGCGAGGGCCCCGGGGGCAGCACGGCCTACGTGGTGTGCGGGGTCATCAGCTTCGCCCTGGCCGTGGGCGTCGGGGCCAAGGTGGCCTTCAGCAAGGCGTCCCGCGCGCCCCGGCCGCCCCGGGACATCAACATGCCCAGGTGTGTGCGCCCCGGCAGACGGGTAGGAGCTGGGGCGGGGCCGGGGCGAGGGGGTGGAGCCATTGGGGAGGGGGTTTAGGCTGGGGGCGTGGTCTCGAGAGCCTGCGGACGCCCTGCTGTTGAATGGGGGAGTCCCAGGCCTCATTCATTCACCAAATGTTTCTGGGCGCTTTCTGGGCGCCAGAGCCTGGGGGTGGATACACGAGCGAAGGAAACAAGGCCCCTGGCCTGATGGGTAAGCCCGGCTCCCCGCACCCCAGGCCTGCTGCCTCCTGTGCGCTGTGTGGCCCCCCCCTCAAGCAATTGGATTAACCCCATCCGTGCCTCAGTTTCCCCATCTGCACAATGGGGCTAATCAATGCTCCCCACCCATTCGGCCTGCAATGAAGATGAACTGGGTTGATTCCCAACGAGACCTGGCCCACGGAAAGCCCTCGGTAAACGGTGGCTACCGTTGTCATGAAAGTTAGGGCCCAATGCCCTAGCCAGTTTGGCTCAGTGTATGGAGCGTCGGTCTGCGGACCGACAGAAGGGTCCCGGGTTTGATTCCGGTCAAGAGCACATCCCCAGTGGGGGGTATGCAGGAGGCAGCTGATCGATGTTTCTCTCTCATCGTTGTTTCTGACTCTCTATCCCTCTCCCTTCCTCTCTGTAAAAAATTAATAATACATATATAAATATATATATATTCCATGTGGGAGCTACTGTGGAGGTCGGATCTGCAAACTTGCAGAGGAACGTGAGAGGAAGGGAGAGAGAGAGAAACCCGGGTGGTCCTAATTTGGGGCCTGCGGCGTTGGGTGAATGGGGCGCCTTTATCCCCGCGGGGAAGCTGCAGAAGAATCAGGATGGGGAGATGGATGGGGAAGGGGCGCGGCAGGCGGGAGTGTGGTCCCAGGAGCCTTTGGGGGGACTGAGCTCAGGTTGCCCTTAGCGAGGGGCGTTGCCCTTAGCGAGGGGCGTTGCCCTTAGCGAGGGGCGAGAAGCCCCAACCGAGCTGAGTTGACAGCTGCCCCCCCAAAGGTGAGAGCAGGGAGGGAAAGAAGCCTGGGTCCTCCCGCCCGCGCCCCCATCCTCCGGCCACTGACCATCCCTTCCCCCCACCCCAGGGCGCTGGTGGACATGCTGAGGCATCAGGCGGGACCCGGGGCCCGTCCGGACCGGGCTCGGAGCAGCTCCTTGACGCCGGGGGTCGGGGGTCCCGACAGTATGGCCCCGAGGACGCCCAAGAACCTCTACAACACCATGAAGCCCTCCAACCTCGGTGAGCGGGACCTGGGGGCTGGGGGGGGGGCTCTGGGCAGAGTGCGGGCAGCAGAGGGGCAGGCGGGGCGGAGGAGCAGCGGGTGGGGCTGGCCTGGGCACGGCGGGGAGGGGCGACGGTGGTGACGCCGCCTCCCTCTTGGTCCCGCAGACAACCTGCACCACAACTACCTGCACCTGAACGTCAGCAGCCCCACGCACCACGCCACCACGCTGGGTAGGCGCCAGGACCGGGCGGGGGACGCGGGGCCCCTCTCCCTCCGTCCCCGAACACCCCCGAGCGGGTGCCTGGGACAGAGCAGGGGGTGAGGCCCTGGGAGCCGGCCCTCACAGTCCGTCCGGGTCACCAAGCCAGCCTCCGCTTCCCACATGGACACCCGAAGCGGCCGTCTCTCCCAGCCCATTTGGTGGGGAGATGCAGGAGTCCACCCCCCAGGCTGGGGCAGGGCACCCAGTGGGCGCTGAGCCCGGGCCTGTTGCCCCTCCTCCTGAGACATGTCCTCCTTCCCTACGTCTCCTGGTGTGGGCAGAGACAGCCTGGACAGCGGGAGCTCTGAGGGGCTTGGATCACAGACATATAACTCCTTAAGGGGCTGGGGCCTGGGCTCCTGGGTCTGAGGGAGGAGGGGCTGGGGGCCTGGGCTCCTGGGTCTGAGGGAGGAGGGGCTGGGGGCCTGGGCTCCTGGGCTCCTGGGTCTGAGGGAGGAGGGCTGGGGGCTGGGCTCCTGGGTCTGAGGGAGGAGGGCTGGGCTCCTGGGTCTGAGGGAGGAGGCTGGGGCCTGGGCTCCTGGGTCTGAAGGAGGAGGGGCTGGGGGTTGGGCTCCTGGGTCTGAGGGAGGAGGCTGGAGGCCTGGGCTCCTGGGTCTGAGGGAGGAGGCTGGGGGCCTGGGCTCCTGGGTCTGAGGGAGGAGGGCTGGGCTCCTGGGTCTGAGGGAGGAGGGCTGGGGGCTGGGCTCCTGGGTCTGAGGGAGGAGGGGCTGGGGGCCTGGGCTCCTGGGTCTGAGGGAGGAGGGGCTGGGGGCCTGGGCTCCTGGGTCTGAGGGAGGAGGGCTGGGCTCCTGGGTCTGAGGGAGGAGGGCTGGGGCCTGGGCTCCTGGGTCTGAGGGAGGAGGGCTGGAGGCTGGGCTCCTGGGTCTGAGGGAGGAGGGGCTGGGGGCCTGGGCTCCTGGGTCTGAGGGAGGAGGGGCTGCGGGTTGGGCCCCTGGGTCTGAGGGAGGAGGCTGGGGGCTGGGCTCCTGGGTCTGAGGGAGGAGGCTGGGGCCTGGGTCTGAGGGAGGAGGGGCTGGGGGCTGGGGCCTGGGTCTGAGGGAGGCATTTGGGGCCTGGGTCTGAGGGAGGAGGCTGGGGCCTGGGTCTGAGGGAGGCGGGCTGGGGCCTGGGTCTGAGGGAGGCGGGGTGGACTGAGCCCAGCTTGCTCTCTGCCCCAGACTGGAGGACCGCCCCACCGCCCAGCCCCAACCTGCCTTACTCCACGCTGTCCTGCTCTCGGTCCTTCCACAACCTCTCGCATCTGCCCCCCTCCTACGAGGCTGCGGTGAAATCCGAGCTCAACCGCTACTCCTCCCTCAAGAGGCTGGGTGAGTCCCCGGAAGGGCGGGGTCCGGGCCCCGGCGGAGGTTCAGGACCGCGGACAGTGGTCCGACCGCTTTCCGATGGCTTAGCTTCCCTCTGCGAGCTTGTTCCGGGATTACCGAGCTTGTTCAGGGATTACCGGAAGCACGTTTGCGCCAGAATTACCTGGGGAGCTTTTGAAAATGCAAATTCATGGTGTGCCACCCCAGGACCAGGATCTACTGTGTTTATCAGGACTTGCATTTGCAATGAGCAGAAATAAGACTTTAAACTCATGCACCCATGCGCGCTCTCTCTCTCTCTCTCTCTCACACACACACACACACACACACACACACACACACAGCTGAAAACAACATGGGAACCAGCCCCCTCACTCCCTTCGCATAGGAGATGCCTTCTGGTGAATAGAATTTTCTGTGCTTTTCAATCCTCACCCTCGGAGTGAGGTGTTTTTTTTTTTTTTTTCTATTGATTTTCAGAGGGAGTGGATGAGAGGCGGAGAGAGAGAGACATTGGTATGAGAGAGACACATCGATGGGTTGCCTCCCACACACACCTCAACTGGGGGCTGGCACTGAACCCCCAACCGGGGCACCTGCCCTTGACCAGAAATCGAACCTGAGACCCTCCGGTAGGCAGGCCAAAGCTCTAACCACTGACCCACCCTGGTTAGGGCGCTATTTCATTTTTTCAAAATGATGGTCCCTATCCATAAAACTGACTTCACAGAACGCACTGCTGCAGGACTGGGGCGGGAGAGGGAAGAAGAGGAATGCTCCCTCAAAAGCAGGCATTGGACCCTGGCTGGTGTGGCCCAGTGGATGGAGCGGCTGCCTGCACACTGAAGGGTCCCGGGTTTGATTGCGGTCAAGAGCACATGCCTGGGTTGTGGGCTCGATCCCCAGTGGGGGTGCGTGCAGGAGGCAGCTGGTCAATGATTATCTCTCAGACGCATCGTTGATGTTTCAGTCCCTCACTCTTTCTCTCTGAAATCAATAATATATATTTAAAGAAATTAAAAAAAAAAAAAAAAAGCAGGCGGTGGGTTCTGCTCCCAAAAGAGCTACTGGGAGGCAAAATAAAAGTCCCCGTGCCTGGGAGTCTGTGTTTTGGTCACATTCCCTAGCCTGGTTGTTCTTTTTTTTTTAAATCTACTTTATTGATTTTTTTACAGAGAAGAAGGAAGAGGGTTAGAAAGTCAGAAACATCTATGAGAGAGAAACATCGATCAGCTGCCTCCTGCACACTCCCTACTGGGGACGTGCCCGCAACCAAGGCACATGCCCTGACCGGAACCGAACCTGGGACCCTCGAGTTCCTAGGCCTATGCTCTAACCACTGAGCGCCACCGGTCAGGGGCTAGCCTGGTGGATCTGATTAAGTTGTGCCGCTGCCCAGGCTGATGACCTGAGGGTCCCCGTGGGGGTGGAGGGTGGGGGTGTGGGTGCAGCGCTGGGGGCTGGGATGTAGGGGAGCCGGGGGAGGGGAGGGGAGGCGCGGGGCGGGCTGGGGCTGGGGCTGGGGCTGACCTCCGCCCCTTCCTCCAACCCCTACCCCCAGCCGAGAAGGACCTGGACGAGGCGTACCTGAAGCGCTGGCACCTGGGGGACGTGCCCCGCGGGACGCTGCCCCTGCACACGCTGCGGCGCCCGGGCACCGGCGGCGGCTACCGCGCGGACTGGGGCGGCGCCGAGGAGCTGGGCCCGGCGCCCGCGCCCCACCCGCGGCGCGTCATGTCGCAGGAGCACCTGCTGGGCGACGGCGGCCGCTCGCGCTACGAGTTCACGCTGCCGCGCGCGCGCCTGGTGTCGCAGGAGCACCTGCTGCTGTCCTCGCCGGACGCGCTGCGCCAGAGCCGCGAGCACCTGCTGTCCCCGCCGCGCAGCCCCGGGCCGGCCGACTCCGCCCGCGCCGGCCTGGCCGCCTCGCACTCCAACCTGCTGCTCGGGCCCGGCGGGCCGCCCACGCCGCTGCACGGGCTGCCGCCCGGCCTGCACGCGCACCACCACCACCACCTGCACGCCGCGCAGCCGCCCTGGCTGGCGGACGCGGGCGGCGGGGGCGCGCTGGCCGGCCGGCCGCCCTTCCAGCGCCAGGGCACGCTGGAGCAGCTGCAGTTCATCCCGGGCCACCACCTGCCGCAGCACCTGCGCACCGCCAGCAAGAACGAGGTGACGGTCTGAGGCCGGGGGCGGGGCTGCGGCCCGGCGGGCCCTCCCTTCTCTTCCCCTCCCTTGCCCCGCTCAGCCCGGATCCCAGACGCACCCCAGGGCCCGGACCGGATCCGCCTGCGGCCTCTGCGGACACTGCTTTGAATGGACTCGTCACCCATCGGAGACCAGGCCTCCTCCTAGAATGTCACAGCAGCTGAGATCCCTCCTCCCATGTCACTGTTTGAGGCAAGACCTCCTTCCCATGACGTCATCACAGAGGAAGAGGCTTGCCCGTGAGGTTGTCGCTGGCCACAAGGTCAACACAGGGGCCAGACCTTCCCATGAGGCCATCGCAGGGGAAGAGGCCCAGCCCTGAGGTCATCCCTACAGGCCATGTCCCATGATGTCATCACACACTCCCTTCTTGTGACGTCATGGCTGGCGGAGACAACGCCTTGTCCTATGGCGTCATCCCTGGAGACGAGCGTTCCTTCCTGAGATGGCAGTTCAGAGACCAGTCTCGTCCCATGACATCCCTTCTGGCCCCCGAAGGCCTCTCTTGACATCAGCATCGTCCGCAGGAAAACCCTTTCCTCCAGGGAAGATGCCTCTGCCTGTGACGTCATCCTTCAGACAAAGCCATCTTGCTGGTACACGCACCGCAGGGGCCGGCCCCGAGGCCCCGCCCTTCCCATGACGTCATCACAGGACTCGCCTCCTTCCTGCCTGTGATGCTACCACCAGAGAAGGTGCCTTCCCGATGACATCATCCGAGGGACTGTGCCTCTTCCGGGGGGTTCGTGGCCAGAGCCGAAAGCCCTTCTGTGATGTCACCCCAGGACCCCGCGGCTGTGAGCGTGAGACCCCTCGCTGCCGCCGCCGCCATGCCGCAAGGGGCAGGGTGTGCCCGGGGTCCTTGAGGAAGTGCCCCGACCTGAGGTGTCACCAGAAGACATGCCGTGGCTGGGGAGGCTGCCCATCCAGAGAGGTCTCCCCAAGGTGTTTGCAATGAGGACCCCACTCCCGTCTGAGGCTGGGTCCCCATGCCGTGATGTCATCACCAGAGACACTGCCCGCCCTGGGGGCCGTCACCCGTGATGGCGTCACCAGTTTCTGCCTTGTCCCGCCGTGACTCCCCCGGCCCCAGTGGCCTGGCCTGCGGGATCCCCACCGGACGCCCCCTCTGAGCAGTGACGTCAGCCTGGGCAGTGACGTCACCTCCTGCGTGGTTCCCAGAAGTCGGGATGCCCAGGCTGGCTCCTCTGGCCCACCAGCCTCGGGGTCCTGAGACAGCGGTGCCCCCAAGGCCGGCGTCACCCCTCTGCCGTACTAGAGACGTCACTGCTTCTGGCCACCTGCTGGGGCCGGGAGGGGGTGCCCGCTACTTCTGCTGATGACATCCTCCCAGCACTCATGATGGCGCCTGGGGTCAGACGCTGCCAGGCCGGTGACATCATCCCCTCTGACCTAGCGTATCTGCATCTCCCAGGATGCAGCACGGCTGCGGTGTCCTCCTCTTCCGGCGCTTCCCCGTGGCCAGTGGCGTCTCCATCTTCCATGCTTCTCCGCAGCCACTGTGCCGTCCTCCCGGGCTCCCCGCCGCTGGCGGGGTCTCGTCTCCAAGAGTTCTCCGTGACCAGTGACGTCATTGCCTTCCAGAACCCACTGCGGCCGATGGCGGCGTCCTCTGCCAGGACCCGCGAGGCCTGGTGATGCCACATTCCCCAAACCCCGGAACTGCGGTGCCATCAACCTGTGCGATCCACGCCAACCATAATCCACGTCTCTGTGCCCCAGGATCCACCCCACCATGGTGTCACCGCCTCCCAGGATGCACTGCAGTCATGGCGTCACCCCCACAGCTCCAGTGGTGTCCCAGGACCCGTGACACGCAATAGTGTCATCTCCCAGGACCCATTTCAACCACGGGGTCATCATCTGCTGGGGTCCACCACAATCATGACACCCCTTCCCCGGACCCAGAAACCCCAATGCTGTCACATCTCCCAGAATCCACCTCAACCATGCCACCATCTCCCATAATCCACCAAAGCCATGCCATCATCTCCCATAATCCACCACAACCATGCCATCCTCTCCCAGGACCCACCAGAGCCATGCCATCTTCTCCCATAATCCACCACAGCCATGCCACTATCTCCCAGGACCCACCACTGCCATTCCATCATCTCCCAGGATCCAGGACACCCAGTGGTGCCATCATTTCCCAGGATGCACTTCAACCTTGGACCATCTCCCAGGACCCCTCATCTTGGGAGTGAAGTCCTGCAGCAGCTGTCTTCTAGGTCAGGTGGCACCGACCGCTGTTCCCATGGGAACCCGGCACATCGCAGGCCATCCTCCCGTTGCCTCTAGATTAGGGCAGGGACCCCTCCGATGACACCACGCCCACTCCGGCCCCCCTTGATGATGTCACTGCCTCACTCCAGGCTTAGGCTGATGCCTGCACCAACCCCACCACAGACTTGGCCTTGACTGCCCCCCCCACCCTTCCTGCGAGGGCATCCAGGCCCCCCTGACAACTCGCTGACCTTCACCCAACTATCTGTTCGGTGACGGGCCACCATGGCGACCTCTTCTCACCAGAGGGGGTGAGCTTCCCAGCCCTGGGCAAGGTCACTGCCCTGGCCCGGCCCCTCCTACCTGTCCCCACCGGCCTGGGCCTCGCCCGCCCTCCTGAGTCTCCTGGGGGCTGGGCCACAGCTGCTACCCCCGGGCCTTCAGTGATGTCCTCCGTGGCCTGTCCTGGGGCAGGCACAGCTGGACAGCCCTGCCATTGCCCACGCCATGTGTGGGGGCCCCTCAGCATCCCAGCGTCCTCTCCTCCGTCTCCCCATGCCCCGGAGGGCCCCAGGGCTCTCGGGATTTGCCATCACCCAATGCACAATCCCCTCTCCCTGCCCCCCCCCTTATCTTTGTACACAGCCATGCTGTGGGGGAGCAGCCATTCCCCTACTCTTAAAGGGCTACACGTCCCCTCCCCAGCCCCCAGGGCCAGGCAGGAGGGGCTATTTTCCCTCCTCTGGGTCCTTCCCTCCTCCTTGTCTCCCCTGGCCCCCAGTACTGGCACCTCCGTTCACCCCTACTCAGCCTCTGGCTCCCACAAACACGGAGGGAACACGGGGAGCGGCCCCCCCACCTCCCTAGGCCCAGCGCCAGTTTTTGACGCCATGCTTACAGCTCCTCCCGCGGACCCCCATCCCTTCCAGGGCCCCCCACCCCCGTGCTGGGGCCCTGAGCAGACTGTGACTTCCCCAGACAGAGCCCCCTGCCCCTCCCTCCCCACCCCCAAGCGCTCCGCTTTCTCCAGCTCCCCACCCCCCAACAGGGGGCTCCGGGCCCTGCAGCTTTTGTATGCCCCCCTCAACTTGCTCTCTTCTGGACTCCAGCTATTTCGCCCCCACTCTGGGGCTCTGGCCTCTTATCTCAAATAAGCCATAGTGAGGAGAGGTCCGAGGAGGCGAGGAAGTGGGCGTGTCTCGCCCAATCCCCCGGATGCCTCTGGAGCCGGGGCCTCACCATCTGAGTCTTCCCACGCTCCCACGCACACGCGCACACACACCCCTGCCCTTCCGATCGCGGGCAGTGGGGGGCGCTGCAGAGACAGGAAGGTAACCAGTCCTGGACCAGAAGACCCTCCCAGCGCTGCCTCCGACCGGCACCGGACTGCCCCCCCTCCCCCCCCGCACCCCAGGTCCTGGTGAGGACGGCCAGCTGGGCTGCAAGCTGGTATTTTTGGAATAAACATGTTTTCCTGACCCCAGGCTCACAGTCTCTGTTGGGAAGGTTGGGGTCTCCACCTGCGTGCTTATGGGGACTCCCTGAGCGGCCCAGGGGAGGGGTGGGGGCCCAGTGCGGCTTATAACCTGCAGCCTCTGGCCTGGCATCGGAGCCTGTCTCTGCACCTCCTTCTGGTGGGGCGTGTGGGCAGTGCTTTTCGGTACCCTAGCTCAGTGGTTAGAGCATTGGCCCCACACTGAAAGGTCTCAGGTTCCATTCCAGGTCAAGGACAGGGCGAGTACCTGTAGGTTCTATCCCAACCGGGATGGGACTTTGGGGGATCAATGAGTCTCTCTCGCATCTATGTTTCTTCCTCCCTTCCATTCTCCCTAAAAAAAAATCAGCGGGGCCCTGGCCAGTCTGGTTCAGTGGGTGGAGTGTCGGCCTGCAGAATGAAGGATCTCGGGTTCCATTCTGGTCAAGGGATCATGCCTGGTTTGCGGGCTTGATCCCCATTGGGGGAGGTGCAGGGGGCAGCCAATCAATGATTCTCATCATTGATGTTTCTATCTCCCTCTCCCTCTCTGAAATCAATAAATGTATTTTTTTTTTAAAACACAATCAAACAAAAACCTTCCTCTCTAGGGCATCCTGGAGCGATGAGCTACGGGCGGTGGGCACGGAGGGCCAGGCTCTGTGGGCCAAGGGGAGAGCTCCCCGGGGCCCAGGGAGCCAGGGGTGGCTTTGCTCCTCACACAGAGACTCCAGCCCCGGCTGCTGGGCACAGGCCAGGCGTGGGGGACGTGGGCCCTGCCAAGCCCCCAGCTTCTGACTGCACCTCGGTAGGTGGCTCTGGGCCTTCCTGCCTCCTTGTCCACAATCTGGTCGCCATTGGTCTTTTCGGCGAGAGCTTTGCTGAGCTGAGAGGCTCTGGCATGGGCCCCCGGCCCCCCTGCTCTAATGAACCCTGAAGCCACTTGGGCCTCCTCTCCTGGCGTCACCACAGGTCCCCCTTTCCAACCGCTGGTCCATTTTTTTTAATTTTATTTTTTTTTTATAGTGAGGAAGACAGAGGGATAGAGAGAAACATCAATGAGAGAGAATCATCATCGACGAGAGAGAATCATCGACCAGCTGCCTCTTGCACACCCCCCACTGGGGATGCACCCGCAACCAAGGCACATGCCCTTGACCGGAATCGAACCGGGGACCTTTCAGTCCGCAGGCCGACGCTCTATCCACTTCGGCTGCTGGGCCATTTTGTAACTGAGGCCTGGAGGTGCTCCCCTGTCCCTGCAGCTACACATCCACTTCCGGGGCAGGGAAGGCGAGTTCCGGTACAGACCCGGAGGCCGAGACCTGGGAACGCTGCCTTCCTTCTCCAGCATCGCGAGAGTTCACTGCGCGCAGTTCCCACGGCGGGTAAGTGAGGCTTGGCGTCGTGTGTGACGCAGGCCTGGCCGGGGTCAGGGGTCACACATGGGAGGGACACGCTTCCCAGGCTTCGAGGCCGCCCTGATTGGTCTCCACAACATGAAATACACAGGTCATAGGTCATTTCCAACACAAAATGGCGCCTCGGAGGGGGGGGATGTAGATCGATCCCAGCGCCCACCCTCTCCGCGGGCTGAGGGGGCGGTGGCGCGGGAATCCCCCCCCTCCGGCGCGCACCCATTTGCATACAAAAAAGCGGACGGATTTAATTGGCTGTGAGCGGCTTGGTCCGTGCGGGGCAGGGCCCCATTGGTCGCTTTCCATCTTGCCCGCCTCCCGGCACCGCCTTTTCCTACCAGAATCGGCCGGTGTGAGCCTCGTGACGCCATCCCGGGATCGCTCGTTCCTATTGGCCAGAGCGCCGCTCATCATCCGTTTAAAACCCACGAGCACCGCCTGCCCTCGCCCCGCCCGGACGCCCCTGCCGGCCGTTAGTCGCGTGCGCAACCTCCGGAGCGTAAGGGCGTGCGTGCGTACGCCGGCCCTGGCGGCGTCGCATTCAAACGGGCCAATCAGCGGCCGCGCCACCTCTCGCGTTCTTTCCCCCTCGCCCACCCCTTTTCATTTCCTCTCCAGTCTGAGGGTCCCCATTCCGACCCCCCGAGTCCCAGCTGGCCGGCCCGCTCCGGGCCCTCTCCCCAGCGTCTCCCGCTTCCGCTCTAAACTTACGGGAAACGGGGCAAGCGCGCCTAACGCCGAGGACCGTGCGCGCTGACGTCACGGGACGGGGCCCCGCCCGCCGGAGGCGCGAGGGGGCGTGGCCTCGGGCAGCTATAAAAGGGCGGCTGCGCGCGCCGCCGGCTCAGTGCGGCCGGCACCTGGGGCGAGCGGACCTGCGGACCAAGTGCGCGGCGGCGTCGGAGGCGGCGGGGAGCGGAGCGGAGCCGCCGGGTCCTCGCCCGGGCCGCAGCGGCAGCAGTTGGGCCCCCCGCCCCGGCCGGCGGCCCGGAGAACGCAGGAAGGGGGCCGGGGGGACCCGCCCCCGGCCGGCCGCAGTCATGGTGAGCTCCGCGGCCGGGCCCGGAGGGGCGGTGGGAGGCCCCTGCAGGAGGAGGCGGGGTCTCGGGCCTAGGGGGTGAGGGGACCTGCCTGGGGGGGTCCCGAACCCGGGATGTGCCCGCAGGCCTTCCAGTAGGTGGGGCCGGAGCCGGGGCCCGCAGGTCCCTTGGAGGGAAGGCCCGGCTGAGCCGCGGGGCGATGGGGGCTGCTGTCCGGGCTTTGTGGCCCGTCCGTGGGTGTTCGGGGAGCAAGGACGCCCCGCTGCCGTCTGCAGGCCCGAGCCGGGGTTTGCGGGGTTATTTCACCGAGATTAGGTGGGGAAGGGGGCCAAGGTAGGCCTCGGCTTAATCCAGAATCCTTGGCGGCCGATGCGGGGCTACGGACGGGTTTTGGAGGCTCCTGGGGGGCCATGGAGCCATCCGCTAGCCCCCCTCGGAGAGCCCCCTTCGTTTGCGGGGGCGCTCAGCCTGGGGCGGCCGACTGCAGCACCGCAGGAGGGGGGTCTGCCAACCCGGGGGTGGTTGACAGCCTGGGACGGCATTCGGCAGGGGTCCCAGGTCTGCAGGCCGCTCACCTCCTCCCTCCTCCTCCTCCTCCTCCTCCTCCTCCCTGCCCAGAACTCCAACGTGGAGAACCTGCCCCCCCACATCATCCGCCTGGTGTACAAGGAGGTGACCACGCTGACCACGGACCCCCCCGACGGCATCAAGGTCTTCCCCAACGAAGAGGACCTCACCGACCTGCAGGTCACCATCGAGGGCCCTGGTGAGTGCGGGCGGGCCGGGGGGGGGGGGGGGCGCGTGCTCTGTAACGGCCGGGCGCAGGAGGCTCCCCCGTGGGGGCAGCCGTGGGGCCCTGATGGCAGCCGGGCGGGCAGGCCTCTTCCCCTGCAGGTGCCCGGTCTGCAGGGCAGTGCAGCACGAGTGACAAGTAACGGCGTGCACGTCTGTAGGGAGACAGCCCTGGTGGCCATGGGAGCATTTGAGGGGACCTTCCCTGGGGAGGGGCTAGGCTGTCAGAGGGTCCCAGGACCTCCAGGGGGGTGGCAAGAGGCTGTCCCGGGGTGACAGGCGGAACACGTGGAGGCCCATCGCGCAGACTGCCCGGTGTCTCGGGCGCACTCCTTCCTGTTCCCGACTTCCACGGGGGAAGGTGGTGAAGGGCCAGTCGGGGGGGGGGGGGCACAGTGGGGCTGAGTCCTGCTGTGCTTCATGAGGATGGCATCGGACACCCTGGAAGCAGAGGAGAGCCCGTGAGGCGTTTAGGGAGCAGACCGTTAGGCCTAAGGGCTTCGGAGAGGGAGCTGTTGGCGGGTGTGAGGCAGGGGTGCGGCCCTGCAGCTCACTGTGGCTTCAGGGAGGGGGGTGGGGGGGTTGGAGCTGGAGGCGGGCGACCACTGCGGGCACCGGTGCGGTGGGGACCGCGGGAGGCCCTGGAGGCGGGCTGCTCGGTGCGGAGGCGTCAGATGTTGGGAGTGGGCACGAGGAAGGCCCTGGATCCGAACACCCGTGGCCTTTTGGCCTTTTGGCTGGGTGCGTGGCCTGAGACCGGCTGTCCCTCGCCCTCGGGGCTTCCAGGTCGATGTTCTCCAGGACACTCGGTTCCTCTTGGGAAGGGAGTGGGGCTGGGGCTGCACTTGGGAGAGGAGAGGTGTCAGGGTGCAGACAGGGCTCGGGTGGTGCCAGTGGGAAGGGGGGTGTCCTGGTCCCGTCTGGGGGCGGCGGCAGGGTACTTGCATCACAGCCAGAACGGCTTTGGGGGTTCACCGGATGCTGGGGGTCCTGTCTGTGCCTCCTGACCCGGCCCCTGCCCCGCTCCAGAGGGGACCCCGTACGCCGGAGGCCTGTTCCGGATGAAACTCCTGCTGGGGAAGGACTTTCCCGCCTCCCCGCCCAAGGGCTACTTCCTGACCAGAATCTTCCACCCCAACGTGGGCGCCAACGGCGAGATCTGCGTCAACGTGCTCAAGCGGGACTGGACGGCGGAGCTGGGCATCCGGCACGTGCTGCTGGTGAGGGGGGCCGGCACCCCGCACACTGTACAGGGCGGGGAGGGACGGGATGTGACCCTTCTGAAGGGCACAGTTGGCTGCTGTTTGGTAGTCAGCAAGTCTGTGCAGTCCCCAGCCATTCCAGAATGTTCTCACAGACATGGTTTCTCAGCCAGGGGCAATGGCGCCCCAGGGACACGGGTAATCACGGCGTGTGGTGGGGGGAGAGCAGGGCGAGGGCCCAGGGACAGGCCCAGATGGAGGCGGCCTGGACTGCACCGGCCCTGAGGGCCTGGCGGGCTGCTGCCTCCCCACCCGCAGCCTCAGAACGTGAGCAGAGGTTGAGGTTAACGAGCCCCTGGGGCCTGGTTGGGAGGCCGGGGAATTGGCTTCCTGCAGGGCCTGGGGAGGCTGAGCGCCCAGGTAAACAGACCTCAGCTTCTCTCCTCCGAGTGTCAGCGCTGCTTCCCGGGACTCGGATGGCCCTCTGATGACCCCCGGGGCGCGGGGGGGCGCAGGGGGCCCAGAGGGGCAGGCCCGATGCCTGCTCACCTATCTCACCGCAGTGATGGGCCAGGCGGCCACGCCGTTTAGAGGCAGTGGAGGCCCTTACATCCGGGGCCTGTCTTGGCCGTGGCTGCTCAGGGGTGCCCGCTCAGGTCCTCGCCTTTCCCGTGGCTTCCTAAGCGGGGCTGGAGTCTCAGACGGGCCCCTCGCGCCAGTCGGGGAGCCCCTCCCTCAGTCTGGTGTTTGGCCTCGCCCCGCAGACCATCAAGTGCCTGCTGATCCACCCCAACCCCGAGTCGGCCCTCAACGAGGAGGCGGGCCGCCTGCTGCTGGAAAACTACGAGGAGTACGCGGCCCGCGCCCGCCTGCTCACCGAGATCCACGGCGGCGCCGGCGGGCCCAGCGCCAGGCCCGAGGCCGGCCGCGCCCTGCCCGGCGCCGAGGCCGCCGCGGACCCCGCGGCCCCCGGGGGCCCGGGCGGCGCCGAGGGGCCCATGGCCAAGAAGCACGCGGGCGAGCGGGACCGGAAGCTGGCGGCCAAGAAGAAGACGGACAAGAAGCGGGCGCTGCGGCGGCTGTAGGCGGCCGCCGCGGCCTGTCTCTAAGTTATTTAAGTTATGGCGGGGGGGGGGGGGGGGGGCGGACTGGATCTGTTTTTCTAAATAAAGTCGGAAAGCGAGCAGCAGTGGCGCCTCTTAGTGCCCGGATCAGCCCTGCCGGGGCTCAGAGCAGCGCCGTCCCACCCTCCATGCCACACGGGGTCCCACGCACACGGGGTCCGGGGCCCCTCGGGGAGCCTGGGGCACCTCTGGTCTGTGCGCTGGGGGTGGTCACAGCCCCTCGTCAGGAGGCATCTTGAATGGGGAGCGGAGGGGCCCGGGTGACAGGTGTAGGGAGCCCTCCTCTTCCTCTGACAGGCCTGCCTGTCTGTCCACTGAGCGAAGTTCTGCCCCGCACACCCAGACCCAGCGCTGGCCTTACGGCTTGTAACTAGAATGAGGCCCGTGTGTCCTGTCCGTGTGCGGCAAGTCACCGAGCCCGGCCCAGCGGACACCATCTCCCGGTCTCTGTGGTCAGGGCCCCACTAGTGCTGGGGGCTGCTGGGTGCACACGGGTGAGGTACGGCTGCCACATGCCTTTCTCGGTCCCTCGTCAAGGTCGTGGTGGGTTTCGGTTGGGGGGGGGGGTGTGTTCTGGCCTCCAGTGCTCAGCCCCAGGGCCGGTCCGCTGAAGCTCAGCTGGTGTGCGCCCTGTAACCAGGCGATGTGACGGCAGGAACTGCCCCGATACGTCAGGCTTTGCCCCGTTTCCTGTCCACTCTCCATAATTCTGTGGCGTGTGGAGGGCCCCCAAGGCACAGTGTCAGAAATGACCATGATCCCTGCCTGGTGGCCATGCACCAAAGGTTGCGGGTTCGATCCCCAGGCAGGGCATCCAGGAGACGGCTGACCTAAGTTTTCCTCTCTCCCTTTCCTCTAAAATCAATTTAGAAAACATCCTTGGGTGAGGATTTTTTAAACAGCTGCCATAAAATGCAAAGACTGGGAATGACCCATTTGTTCAATAGTTGAATGAGAAGGAATTGTGAACTCACACGATGAAATCTCAGCGGCACAAAGGATGAGTCTCACAACTATTATTATATAACGGGTGAAAGTGTAAGACACACAGTGCTATTTGACATTCTAGGAGAGGCCAGACTAACCCCTCCTGGCTGAAAGCAGGTCTGGCTGAAAGGTGGTTGGCAGTCTGGGATCAGGGAGGCTCAAATGAGGGGCATGGGGACACTTTTTGGGGGGAGGTCTTTTTAGAACATTTTTATTTTTATTTTTTTTAAATATATATTTTTTATTGATTTTATACAGAGAGGAAGGGAGAGAGATAGAGTTAGAAACATCGATGAGAGAGAGTCATCGATCAGCTGCCTCTTGCACACCCCCTACTGGGGATATGCCCGCAACCAAGGTACATGCCCTTGACTGGAATCGAACCCGGGACCCTTCAGTCCCCAAGCTGACGCTCTATCCATTGAGCCAAACCGGTCCCGGCTAGAACATTTTTAAAAGTTAATTTCAGAGAGGAAGGGAGAGAGAAACATCAATGATAAAAGAATCATTTATCAGTTGCCTCCTCCTGCATCCTCCCATAGGCATGTGCCCTGGACCAGAATCAAACCTGGGACCCTTGAGTCTGCAGGCCAATGCTCTGCCCACTGAGTCAGGGCTGATTTTTTTTAAAATAATTATTTTAAGGCAAAGACAGCGCTGGCCAGTATGTTCCAGTTGCTTAGGGCATGGCTCCCAGCACTGGAAGGTTGGGGGTCAGGGCACATAGTCTGTGGGCTTGGCCCTTGGTGGGGGCACACACAGGAGGTAACCAAATGATGTTTCTCTCCTTTCCTCCCTCCCTGAAATACAAAAAGCAAAGAATTGTTCATTTTAAAGGCAAAAGTTTCTACCAAGAAATAGCTCCTTTACCCTAGCCAGTTTTTTTTTTTTTTTTTTTTTTTTTTTTTTAAAGCAATCTTTATTGTTCATATTATTACAAAGGTTTCTCATTTCTTCCCCCCTCCACCAGGTTCCCACCCCACCCTCCGTCCCCCCCCCATCCCCCATTGTCCTCATCCATAGGTGCAGTTTATGTTCAGTCTCTTCTTCCCTCAATTTCCCCAATAGTAAATCCCTTTTCAGATAGTAAATCAGTTACTTAGCATTTTCTCCTATCAATAATACCTCCACATGCCCAATGATACACTTCACACAAAAGACATTTCCCACTAGGTCAACCAGCCTCATCCAGGCCCCACCCAAGGCACTCACAGATCAACACCCCAGTCCTAAACTAACTCAACACATCCAGATCTAAGCCTTCATCACTTGATTCAGCAGACACTCAAGTTCCCACGAAAGTTTCCAGCCATGTCTGAGAAGCAGCCGTGGGGCAGGGGCAGGCAAGGAGCGAGCTGTTCTGGGCCTGGCTGCTCAGGGCCTGGCCTCTGTTGCTCTGGTTCATTCCACAACCAGCTGCTCTTACCCTAGCCAGTTTGGATAGAGTGTTGGCCTGCGGACTGAAGGGTCTCAGGTTCGAATCCAGTCAAGGGCACATGCCCGGGGTTCCAGGCTCGATCCCCAGTAGGGAGCATGCAGGAGGCAGCCGATCAATGATTTTCCTCATTGATGTTTCTCTACTCCCTTCCTCTCTGAAATTAATAAATATACATTTTTTTTTAAAAGGGCTCCTTCTCAAGTCCTTTCTTCCCAATACCCAGTACTTTTTTTTTTTTTTTTTAGAGTGAGGAAGGGAGAGGAATAGAGAGTTAGAAACATCAGAGAGAATTGAACCATGACCTCTTGGTTCATAAGTCAACACTGAACCGCTGAGTTACATACAATGGACAGACAGCAAATTTAAATATATATATTCTAGCCCTGGCTCAGTTGGTTAGAGCATCGTCCCAATACCCCAGGATTGTGGGTTCAATCCCCAATCAAGGGACATACAATTATCAACCAGCCGCCAAAACCGGTGTGGCTCAGTGGATAGAGCGTCAGCCTGTGGACTGGAAGGTCCCAGGTTCTATTCTGGTCAAGGGCACGTACCCTGGTTGTGGGCACATCCCCATTGGGGGGTGTGCAGGAGGCAGCTGGTCAATGTTTTTCTTTTTTTTTCTTTTTTTTAAATATATTTTATTGATTTTTTACAGAGAGAAAGGGAGAGAGATAGAGAGCTAGAAACGTCGATGAGAGAGAAACATCGACCAGCTGCCTCTTGCACATCCCCTACCGGGGATGTGCCCGCAACCAATTTACATGCCCTTGACCGGAATCGAACCCGGGACCTTTCAGTCCGCAGACTGACGCTCTACCGCTGAGCCAAACCGGTTTCGGCTGGTCAATGTTTTTCATCGATGTTTCTTTCTAATTCTCCCTCTCTTAAAAAAAAAAAAATCAATAAAATATATATTTTTTTAAATCAACCAGCCCTAGCCAGGTTGGCGCAACAGATAGACCAAGGGTCACAGGTTTGACTCCGGTCAAGAGCATGTACCTGGGTTGCAGGCTCCTCCCTGGTCCAGTGCGTGCAGGAAGCAACCAGCAGAAGTGTCTCTCTCACATTGCTGTCTCCCTCTCCAACACTCTCCCTAAAACCTATAGAAATATATTTTTGGGTGAGGATGAACAAAACAAAGGTAGTTCCAATGTTCTTTTAAAAATCAACCAGTGAATGCATAAATGGGTGGAACAGCAAATTGATGTTTCTTCCTCTTAAAATTTTATTTATATATATATATATATATATATATGTAAATATATATATGTAAATATATATATAAATATGCATATACTTGCTTATACACACACATATATATTGGTATATACATATATTCTAATCAACAAGCAGGGTCCAGTACCCTGTAAGGGTCCCCATCAGCCGACAGCCCTGCCCCGCCATGGCCGCCTGCCCGACCCCCACAGCAGAGTGCGCCATCCTTCAATCATGCGTCCTGGACCCACTGGCCATGCTGGCAAGTATAACCTTCCCAGTGCAGATGCCCTGGACGGCAGCTGGGTGCAGGGAGGCGAGGCGGACATGGCACTGCTGGGTCTGCTCCTCACTGGCAGGTGTGGGCACTGGGAGGGCTGTGGGCAAGGTTGCAGGCTGTGTCCAGGCAAGACAACAGGTCTGGCAAGACCTGGGCAGGGTCACCTCCCCTCCCTGGGAGGGCTGGAGGCGTGGCAGGCTCTGCATTTGCGTGGTCAGCCCCGAGCCCAGCAGGGGTCCTCAGCGGCCCTTGACCTGCGCTGTGGTGAGGGACAGGAGCAGGGACGGGGACCCTCTTTGATGCTAGGCCCTTGGCCTCGGGCAGTGGCTGGCACAGAGCAGGTAGGAAAAAACAGTATCAGGCCCTGTGATGTCAGTGACCGTCCCCCAATACCAACCTGCTGCTGTATGTGAAGTGGGGATGCCATCTGCTTTGGGCTGTCTGGGGTACTGGGATGAGAAATGGCCATTCCACACTTGTATGTATGTATGTATGTGTGTATGTACACACACGGGGCATGTATGAGACAAGGCCCAGCTGCTCCACTAAATGCCGGAGCACTCGCTATGTGCAGGCTCTGACCTCGGCACTGTGTTCGCTAACCCCCTGGGTTTTGACAAGATGCACAGAGAGGTCTAGTTACTTGCCTGCGGACACACAGCTGGTGGTTGACACCTGTGATCACAGGTTGATAAACACCAAGAGACTTGAGGCCCGCAGGCAGAGAGTAAAAAGTGAGGAGTGCTGAGAAGCCAGAATATTTTAAAATATACTTTGTATTTCAGAGGGAGATAAACATGAGAATCACCCACCGGCTGCCTCCTGCACCCCACACTGGGCAGGGGGCCACCAGTTCGATTCCCAGTAAGGGCCCATGCCTGGGTTGCAGTGTCCACCCCCAGGAGGAAGCTGATCCACGATTCTCTCATCAATATTTCTCTCTCCCTCCCTTAAATCAAAAAAGATCCGGATGGTAACCACTCCTCCCCCCACTGGCCACACAGATGGGGCTGGAGCTGAGGTGCAGTGAGTGGATGCCCCGTGTGCTGGCCTAGTTACTCGCTAGGGTCTCCCTGCCCCCAACCTGGCCCCTCCAGTCCCAACTCGGGCTCCCGTGGCGTGGGAGCCTCCCCCAGGGACAGCTGAGCGTTGCAGCCCCACTGCCGGGTCACACACACACACACACACTGGAGGCCGGGAGAGGGTCAGAGGCGAGCGGCGCCGCCTTTATTGTCGGGGGAGGGGGTGCTCAGGAGCTCTTGGTGGGCCGCGCCCGCTTCCTCTTCACCACCACGGGCTTCTGGCTGCGCAGGATGGCGCTGGCCCGGCGGATGGCCGCCATGCGCAGGTCCGGCCGGTACTTGTTCTTGCGGATCATGTGCCGGATGCTGCTCAGCGTGGCCCGCGCGTTCTTGTTGATGGTGGTGCGCACGTAGGAGGTGGCCGGCTTCCGCTGGCCTGGGGGTGGACAGAGTCCGTCAGATGGCCTGGGCACTCCCAGGAGAGAGGGCACATGGCACCCCGAGAACCGAGTGCCCTGGCTGTGAGCCTGGCAGGCAGCCTGCTCCATCTCCACAAATTCCCGGGACAGCCTGGCCGGTTTGGCTCAGTGGATAGAGCATTGGCCAGCAGACTGAAGGATCACTGGTTGGATTCCAGTTAACAGCACATGCCCGTTGTGGGCTCGACCCCCCAGTAGGGGGCATGCAGGAGGCAGCCAATCAACGATTCTCATTGATGTTTCATCTCCCTTCCTCTCTTAAATCAATTAAAATATATATATATTAAAACCATAAGCCCTGACCAGTGTGGCTCAGTAGATAGAGCCTTGGCCTGCAGACTGAAGGGTCCCAGGTTCGATTCTGGTCAAGGGCATGTACCTTGGTTGTGGGCACATCCCCAGTAGAGATTGTGCAGAAGGCAGCTGGGTCAATGTTTCTAGCACCGAGCTGGCCAGTTACTGCCAGTCGGAGCACTGCAGCTGCCTCCTCTCCCTGCCCCGCCTCCTAGGCCCAGGCCCCAGCTCTGGACGGGGGTCTGAAAGGCCAAGCCGAGGCCTGGCCCTGACGCTGGGGAGACCTGGTGCAGAGGGAGTCCGGGCTCCGCTGCCCAGAATTCAGCCAAGGACCCCATGCCAGGGGTATGACTAAGTCACAGCCCAGAGCACGGCCCACAGTGGCTGCCCAGGTCAGTCTAGCTCCTGACAGCCTGGGAAAGGCCACTCGGCAGTCCAAGAGGGAAGCTGGGGACTGGGTGCTCTGGGGCTGGGATCCCGAGAGGGAAACCTCCTCCTTCTCCTCCAGGGCGGGCAGGGGGTCCCTGCCACCAGGAGCTGGCAGGCCACGGCCACGGCCACTGCTGACCGTGAACAGGACGCTGAAACCCAACCCCAAACAGAGCCTGGCCCTCGCCGGGACCTGGGAAAGCTCATTCCTCTTAAAAACCTCCCCATGGAGCAGCCGTGCTGGCAGCCCGAGGCCGTGACTCTGAACGGCCAGAGCTCCTCCGAGACACTCGAATGTCCACGGGGCAGTTTATGGGGTGGACGCTCCCCTTGAGCCCAGAGAAAGGGGGGGACGGGGAGGACAAACTGTGTTTCCAACCAGCCTGTCACCTACAAGTGGGAGCTGGCGGGAGCCTCACCGATTTACCTACATTTTCCCACCGGATTAGATTGAGACACCCACCCCAGCTGGGCTGTTTGGAGGACTTAACCTTAAAACTCTGGCTCCTGAGCACCCCTGTAATTTCTTTTATAATGTTTTATAGACTTTTCTTTCTTTTTAAAAAATACTTTATTGATTTTCCAGAGAGGAAGGGAGAGCTAGAAACATCGATGGGAGTCATCGATCAGCTGCCTCTTGCACACCCCCCACTAGGGATATGCCCACAACCAAGGTACATGCACTTGACCGGAATCGAACCCAGGACCCTTCAGTCCCCAAGCCGACACTCTATCCATTGAGCCAAACCGGTCTTGGCTGCTTTTTTTTTTTTTTTTTTACAGAGGAAGGGAAAGAGCATTAAAAACATCAACCAGCTTCCTCCTGCACACTCCCTACCGGGGATGTGCCCGCATCCAAGGTACATGCCCTTACCCTGAATCAAACCTGGGACCCTTCAGTCCGCAGGCCGATGCTCTATCCACTGAGCCAACCTGGCTAGGGCAGCAGCCCTGTAATTTCATCCTAATCACTACCACCAGGACACACAGGGCAGGTCCTGCGAATTCCTCCACTTTGCAGAGGACAAAGCAAGTTAAAAAGGCCCGGCCAGCTCACACGGAGGGCGGGCACCTTCCCCGAGGAATATAATATACCCTGACCCCCGGAGTGCCTCCCCTTGCCCAACCCCGACCACCCACAGCTCCCTGCCCCGATGTGGGGCCGGGCCAGGGCAACGCTCACCGGATCTGCGCTTCATGATGACCACCACGCCTTTGCCGTCGGGCGCCGGCTCCACGCCCACCGTCTTGCGGTGGATCAGGCCGTTGTAGCGAAAGGAGTTGCGGGCCTTCAGGTTATTGGGTTCCTGGGGGGGGAGGGCGCATGGCGGGTGGTGGATGAAGGGGGAGGGGGGATTCCCTGGAGCCCCAAGTGCCTCCCTCCGCCCCTCGAGTCCCGGCCGCGCTTACGGTGCTGTAGGTCTGCTTGTTCCTCTTGATCAGGAAGCTGGAGCAGTTCCGCACGATCATCCACTGCAGGTGGGCGGACATGGCGGCAGCTGCGGGGAGAGGGGGCGCGGGAGGTGTCAGGGGGGCCGCAGGCTGACGCCGGGCCCCCCCAGGACAACAGAGGGGGGATGTGAGCCGGGACCTGGCGGAAGCAAGGCCAGCGGAGGGCAGACAGCGCCCAGCGATCGGTCAGGCGGGGCTGGGCGACCGAAGGCGGAGGCGCCGAACTTGGGCGCCGAGACTAACTCCGGGGGGAGAAGGGGACGGGCGAATCCGCAGCGGCTTCCGGTGGCGGGGCCGGGGGGAAGCCAAGGACGCGAGGGGCGCGATGAGAAGGGCCGACGGGGGGCAAACACGGGGCGGAGGGGGCGCGGGACGCGGCCACGCGGGCGAGCACAAGGCCTCCGCTCACCTCCTCGCGCCGCGGCAGCCGGAGACGGAAAGAGGCTCGCGAGGGGCGGGGCGACGCCTTTAATCCCGACACGCATTTCCGCTTCCTCTCTGGGGACGCGCTCGAGGCTTCCTGACTCCGCCCCCTGGGCGGCTCGGCTACTTCCGGCTCCTCCGTTTGGGAGCTTCGGAACTCTTCGGTGGGAGACCCGAAGGCGCTCCGGGGCCGCTCGGTTGTTTCCGGAACTCTACGGCTGGGTTTCCGACGGGGCCCGGCCCTTCCGTCAGCGGCCTCTCCCCCAAGGGGTGCTCACCCAGCGCTTGGCACAGGGTGGGCGCTCAGCAAACATTTGTTTTGGGGTTTCTGTTTATGAATGAACGTGTGAGTGCGCGAACTCTTTAAGCCCAGCCCCGGAGCCCCTGGCGCTTCCGGCCTTCCCCGTGAGCGCTCGGCTGTTGCCGGAAGGGCCCGCTCGGGCGCCTTCGGAACTCTCCGGAAATGCTCTTCGGAACCGGTGGCCGCCCTTCGTATGGGCCCCTGCCGGGCTCGGGTCTGTTCGGGCTCATTGGGGACCTTCCGAACCGCGGCAGGCCCCTGGTTTCCCCCCTCGTCGGGGTCCTTTTGGAATAAAGTCTTCAAGCGCCGGGTCTAGGGAGGAGCCAGACCTCCACTCGTCGCAGACCGCCCCCCCCCGGGGGGGAGCGCGGGTTTCCCTCGGGGCGAACTGTTGGCAGGAAAAGGCATTTGCCTGGGAAAGCCCTTGGTCCTCCCTTTAGGGGTCCCACACCTGCCGCCCAGCCCCCTGCCCATCCTCCCCGTGAGCCCACTATGTTGCACCCCATTAAACTCCCTGCGAGTCTACTTTCTGCTTATTTCCTTCTTTAAAAGATATATTTTTATTAATTTTTTACAGAGAGGGAGGGGGAGGGAGAGAGAGCCAGAAACATCAATGAGAGAGAAACACCCATCAGCCGCCTCCTGCACACCCTCCACTGGGGTCGCGCCCGCCACCAAGTCACACGCCCCCGACCGGAATCGAACCTGGGACTCCTCCACCGCCACCCCCACCCCTCACCCCCAGTCCGCAGGCCGACGCCTTATCCACTGAGCCACACCGGCTTCGGCTGGCCCTTGGCGTTGACCCCACCTGGCCCCGCCGTGGGTGCACGGAAGGCGCTGGAGGCGGAGAGGACATAACGGGGCCCCGCGCCCTGCGCCCCCGGACTCCGTTAGCGCGTCCTGAGCGCTGGCCACGTGTGGCTCCTGCTCCTTGGGGGTGCCGGGCCCTCGGGGTCCCCCTCCCCATACCTCAGCGGGGTCCCCCTCACCCCGCAGCCCCGGGCCCCGCACCGGAAACCCCGGCCAGGGCCGGCCCGCCGCCGCCGCCGGCTCCGATGACCGCTGGGGCCCGCCGGCTGCAGGCGCACCTGGCGCCGGCCCCGACCCCGCCCCGCCGGGCGGGCGGGCGGCGCCGGAACCGCCGGCCCGGAGCCAGCGCGCACCCGGCATGGCGGCGGCGGCGGCGGCCGTGAGCGCCCCGCAGGGCCCCGCGCCCCCCGCGCCCGCCGCGCCCGCCGCGCCCGCCGCGCCCCCCGCCGCCGGGCTGGGCCGCTGCCGCGCGGCGCTGCTGCTGGCCGTGGCGCTGGACGTGGCGGGCATGGCGGCGCTGCTGACCGGCGTGTTCGCGCAGCTGCAGGTGCGCGGCCGCGACTTCGGCGACCTGCTCATCTACTCGGGCGCGCTGCTGGTGTTCGTGAGCCTGCTGGGCTGGATCCTCTGGTACACCGGCAACGTCGACATCTCCCGCCAGGAGCTCGAGCGCGACTACGGCCTGCGGCCCTCGGCGCTCGCCCGCCTGGCGCGCAAGCTGTCCCGCCGCTGGTCCGCGCCCGCCGGCCCGCGCGCGCCCGGGGCCCGCGGCGCCGCCCGCGCCCCCCGCGCGCCCCCGCCCGGCGCCGGCTCCCGCCGCGTGCGCCTGCAGCTCGCCACGCTCGAGGCCGCGCCCGGGTCCGACTGAGCCCCCCCCTCGAGGTGAGAGGCCCGGGGGCGGGGCGGGGCGGGGAGGGGCGGGGGGGGGGAGGCCGAGGGGCGGAGCTGGGGTGGAGGGGGGGAGAGGGGATGGAGAGGTGGAGGGACCAGGGAGGGAGGGAGGGACCAGGGAGGAGGGCGGGGCTTCGGGGGAGGTGGGATGAGGGAGACCCAGGGGGAGATGAGAGGGAGAGGGGGAGGGGGAGGGGGAGGGGGAAGAGAGGGAGGGGGGAGAGAGGGAGGGGGGAGAGGGGAGGGGGGAGAGGGAGAGGGGAGGGGGAAGAGGGGAGAGGGAGAGACCATGCCCTGGCTGCTGAGCTCAATGGTTAGAGCATCACCCTGCGGACTGAAAGGTCCCAGGTTCCATTCCGGTCAAGGGCACGTACCTTGGTTATGGGCTGGATCCACAGTGGGGGTGTGTGTGCAGGAGGCAGCCAGTCAATGAGATTCCCTCTCATCATTCGTGTTGCTCTCTCTCCTTCTCTTCCTCTCTGAAATCAATAATAATAATAACAACAACAACACAAAAAACTGCCGAACCGGTGTGGCTCAGTGGATAGAGCGTCGGCCTGCAGACTGAAGGGTCCCCGGTTCGATTCCGGTCAAGGGCATGTGCCTTGGTTGCGGGCGCGTCCCCACAAGGAGGTGTGCAGGAGGCAGCTGGTCGCTGTTTCTAACTATCCCTCTCTTTTCCTCTATAAACAATCAATAAAATATATTATTTTTTAAAAAGAGAGAGATAGAGACCATGGAGTGAGGGAGACCCAGGCCCAGACAGAGCAGCAGAGACCCTGGGAATGGGGGGAGCGGGTAGGCAGGAGGCAGACGTGGGAGGCACCTTGAGATAGAGAGTTAGAAACATCGGAGAGAGAGAAACCTCGTTCAGCTGAGCTGCCTCCTGCACACGCCCCACTAGATATGTTTCTGCAACCAAGGTACACACCCTTGACCAGAATTGAACTTGGGACCCTTGAGCCCACAGGCGGAAGCTCTATCCACTGAGCCAAACGGGTTAGGGCTGGTGCCACCTTTTGCCCAAGGGCACACAGCTGGGATTTTCCTGACCAAAGGTGTAAGGAGAGCCCTAGCTGGTGTGGCTCAGTGGATAGAGCACTGTCCTGTGTGTGGACTGAAGGGTCCCTGGTTTGCTTCCGTTCAAGGGCACATGCCCAGGTTCCAGACTCAATCCCCAATAGGGGGTGTGCAAGAGACAGCCGATCTATGATGAGAATGTTTCTCTTTCCCTTTCCCTCTCTGAAATCAATAAAAAATAATTTTTTTTTTTTCAAAAAGAAAGTCTAGCCCTAGCTGGTTCCGCTCAGTGGATCAGCACCCGCCTGAGAAACAAAGGGTCCTGGGTTCTATTCGGGTTCGATTTGGGTCAGGGGCACGTACTCCTGTAGCAGGCTTCCCCCCTGGTCCCAGCCCTGCTTGGGGCTCATGCAGGAGGCAACCCATCCATTGTTTCTCTCTCACATCCATCTATCTCTCTGTCTCTCCCTCTCTCTTCCACTCTCCCTAAAAATCAGTGGAAAGGTATCCTCGGGCAAGGATTTTTTTTCAAAGAAAAGAAAAAGAAAGTCTAGCCCTGACGGGAGTGTTGGCCTGCGGACTGACAGGTCCCCGGTTCGATTCCAGCCAAGGGCATGTACCTTGGTCGTGGGCACATCCACAATGGGGCGTGTGCAGGAGGCAGCTGATGGATGGATGGATGGATGGATGGATAAGTGGATGAATGGGTGGGTGGGTGGATGGAATCCAGGCACAGAACCCCTCCTCATAGGAGGGTGAGGTACTCCCAGCTCATGAATTTTAACAGAAGGACCCACAGGTCCTGGCTCCAGTGCCTCTCCTTCCACTCTGGGAACAACATTAGCTGCGTGGCCATGCACCCACCCTTTGTCACTTGTCCCGTCTTCTGTCTCTCTCTCTCTCTCTCTCTCCCTGCCTCCCACATCTCTGTCCCTGCACCTGTCTCTCCTGGTCTCGGTCCCCACCTGGACCGCCGTGTCTGTGAGTGAAAGCCACCTGGGCGCTGCAGCCATCAGGGTGCGGCGGGGTGAGGAGACCTGGGCCGGCCTCAGGCAGAGGGTGAGGGGCTGGCGGGGGGAGGGGGGGACAGACAGGGCTTCCCCGGGGTCCCCTGGCCCGCTGGGTGGTGGGTGCAGAGAACTCAGGGCTCTGGGGTCCCCAGCAGCCACTGACACCTCCCTCCCTCCCTCCCTCCCTCCTGCAGACAAAGCCCAGGATGCCCCTGTGAGGACCAGACTGAGACCTCAGGACGCCTCCCCACCGGGATGCTCC